TTTTTCTTTTTACAAGTATTCAATAGATTGGACTTAATTAAAAAATTCAAAATTATTTTGCTTAACTCAATGGCCTTTGAGTTTTCAGCTAAACTAACTCGATCGTGGATGGTATTGATTGGGTAGGTAGATTGCGTTGAACTTGAACGACACGTGTTTGCGAAACTCGTAGTGTTTATAATGACTACGAATATTGTTTCATCGTGTCCTTTTGTTGCAAGATACGATTGAGCCAAATATCATAGGAAGCCACCGAATTTTGTGGAGATTGTGTATCGAATAGAGACATAGTTTCCGTAAAATATATATTTGAGTTTTGCACACACACACACCCTATTTCGTTTTCTTCTTTCGAATGTCCTTTTCAATCCTCACCGCCCACGGTATCCCTAAAGAAACAGTAAGTTGACCTTATTTATTTTTTATTTCTTTTATTATTTCTGCATGATCTATTATTAAACACTCTAAAACATTCCAGAAGAATATTTCTTTTCATCACAGCATAACGTGCATTATTTACTATTAGAAAGAAGTTAAGGAAAAATGCCAGTTATCTGTTTTTTTTTTTTTTTTTTTTTTTTTTTTTTTTAAAAAAAAAAACAGTTATCTCATTTTAAAATCAAGTTATGGCACAATTGTAACAAGAGATTACATTATTTACTGATAAGATATTAATGGCATTGTATGTCTAATCACAACCTTATAATTGAATATTTTCCATTCTTATTCGCTGAACTAATTACTATTAGCATATTAATTCATTAGTGTAATTTAATTATACATTCTTTGGTATAACTACGTTCTGGATTGAACGCACTATTCTTTCTCCTTTTCCTTTTGTGCTGGATTTGAACTGAGTTTTTTGAGGTTAAAACTTAAAAGGCAAACTCTAAAGTCTAAACCAACAAGCTACTCATGAAACCAGCTGAACGCACTATTCTTTAAATTATGCAACATATCAATAAGAGGATGTGATTTTTTTTTATTATTTAGAACTCGAAACAATAAAGTTAAATTGGTATCTTATGAGTGTGCATGTTTTTTCTGCTTGTCCCGGATTGTTTTTTTTTTCTTCAAAAAATTAAGGAAAAAATTGCAGTTTCTATTCTAAAAAATGAGAGATATATAATTTTTAACATATTAATTATTATATAAATTTAAAACCTATTTTTTCTTCCTTTCAAAAACCACAAGATATCCTCGTACCTTTTTTCGGTCTAATATAATATTCAGTACATACATCACAATGACAGATCATTTAAATATCCTCGTACTTTTATTTTTCTTTCATCTATAAAAAAAATAGTAATTTTAATTTTGCATTCAACGGGTAATTATTCTATCTTATTTAGGACATATAATAGAAGCGGACATAATAAAAAAAAAATTATTTACTTTTGGATACGCGTATTCAATTATATGCCAAAGATCGTTAAATAATAACATTTTCAATAGCTTGCCACCAACTTATAATCAGTACCCTTATAAAAGAAGAATAAAGATTTGTTTGCCTAATTCACTTTTGCGACATATATTATCTGACAGAGACTGTGTTAGATCAACTTTAATGCATTCTCTCTATTCACATAATCACATCAGCTCCAATTAAATCTACAAATTTCCCTCTTAATTTGATGGAAGTTGGCAAGTTTGCTCTTTTAAAATTGGTTATGGAAACGAGTATTTTGCACGTGTTTTTTAAGAAGCAAAAAATGATAAGTATTGAATAAAGAATATAATATTTAATACATTAATAACTTAAAATATTTGATTTTTTATTTAATACTTTTTGTTTTTAAAATTTTAACAACTATGACAAGTACAATAGTTGGGAATTTTTTATTTTTTTTGGATATTATCCAGTTCATGGATTACTCGAATTCAAGAGTACTGGTTAAGTTGTAACATTGATTACAATAGTTGGCATTTGTGTTTAAGATATTATCCACACAAAAAAAGACATTTGTGTTTAAGATTTTCACACCAACATTCTTTTTATTGAAATGTGCTTATATTTTTTGGTTTGGGCTTTTGCCCCAGTTTCTCACTATATACGTTTCTAGTACACGGATATGAAATATTTTAGAGCAATTTTCCATGGGCTTCATTATGAGCTTCGGAAACAAACCGAACACCAGAACGTAAGAATGGAAGATTCAACGTCTTTAGTCAATCATCCATATTGCAGAGCCCAACCAAAAAATAAATAAAAATAAAAAACATTGTGGTGCAGTAGTTTTTTTTTTTTTTTTTTTGGTTCTGGGTCCAATCCAGATTCCTTATTTTGGACTAAACATGATGAGAGCAAAAAAAGATAAAAACAATTTATTTAAAATGTTTCTAGTCTATGGACCAAAATAAATTTCTTCAATGCTTTTCTCTTATATTCTTGCCAAAGTATAATTCTTCCATACCTTGTCTTTCCCATTTTTCTTTGGAGAAAAAGAAGAAGAAAATATTGGAAAAATCTTTCATAATAATAAGAGAAAATCGTACAAATATATTCTTTTCATTTTAAGCTCGTTGCACTAACTTTTTTTTTTATGTATATGAAAATCTTATTTTTACTCAAATGGTATAATAATATTCTAATCTTTTTACTTGATTGATCTTTTAATCCTGGCATTAAACACTAATTAAAACAAAGCATCAAGTAAAGTTTTTCCTTGTATGGATAAATTGGCTTGTTCAAATATCTTCATTTTGACCAAAGATTTAAGGATCCTGCTAACATACTTATAAATTAGAAGTACAATTTATTTTTAAAATCTAGATTATTTTTCGTAAGCTTAGAGTATAGATAAGTGTTATCACACCACCAAGCTCGAATTGGTCGGGTCGACTCGAAACTCAGCGAATCGGTCATCGGACCAGTTTAAGTCAAGTATTGGACCAGCCACGTGTTGGACCCGATCAAGTTCGATCAAAATTGATGACCCGATTCGGTCACGAAAATCGGCGGGTCATGCATTTAAAAAAATAAAAAATCAAAGTTGTCTCATCTTGACCGAAAAAAGTGTGAACTCCTTTCAAAAACGTTTGTAGTTTTGTTTGCTAGTAATATATTATCCTACAATGACCTCAAATTTTAGCTTTCAAAACTAAAGCAATTTGCATAAAGGTAAATTAAGAAAATGTGATACATTAATTACTTACAAAAATCTTATGGAAAGAGTTGTTGGTCAATGCCTTATAATTGTTTACCAAAAAAAAAATGCCTTATAATTATTAAACATAATTAGTTGATGATACTTGATAGATGAATTATATATGGTATTTGATACTCGAATTTTCTTTTTTTCTTTGTTTATTTTTTTACAATATATTGTATGCGATTATCATATATAACTTTTTTTATCCCTATAAAAATCATATATGCTTGCAGTCCAGTATAACAATTTTTTATATGTATTTGAGTATTTTATGGAATTTTATGTACTAATTCAACCAGTTGAATTAGTGATCTAGTACCTCGATCGGGGATCAATGACAAGGTCAGTTCTAATAACATTGTTATAGGTACGATTTATGTTGCACCGACACGAGATACGAGATACGACACGACACGACACTCCGACACGTTAATTCTAAAAAATGTTAAATTTCGACACAATAGGACACGTTTTGATATTATATAATTTTTTTTTAATTTATGTAGTGTATATTATATTTAATATTCAATAATTTAACAAAAAAAGAAAGATAAACTTATAAAACTCATCAATTTTACAAAGAAACACAATATATCCCAAATGTTTATATTAAATTCAACAAAATAGTAATTGTAATCCAATGAATCTAATAGTTGGAACTCAAAATGCAACGCAACGTAACATTTGAACTTTTTTTGAGTCTTTGCAATGAGTATTGGAGTGGCGGGAAGTCTCAGAGTGTCGGTGAGTGTCGGACACGACACATCAGGAATTTCGAAATGTCGGTGCTTCATAGGGTACGATATGAATAGTAAGACATAAAAAATAATGACAATTTTTAGAGTATTCTTCATGGGTGAAGAATTTCTCCGGTCAATGGAGATAAGTTATCTTCGGTGAGCCCAAAACGACACCATTTTGAAACAGAAATCAAGGTGTTTTTGTAATTCTAATATATTGCAGATTATATTAGTCTTTATCATTGTAATTTTTTAATCTTATAACCCAAAATGACGTCGTTTTGAGCTCACTATATAAATACTTTTTCCATTTTTTAAAGGGTTCGCTTTTTCTGCAGTTACTGCAGATAAGTTATCTGCAGTAAACCCAATACGACGTCATTTTGGGACAGAAATCATGATATTTTTATAATTTTAATTTATTTCAGGGTTATTATAGTCTTTATAATTATAATTTTTTAATTTTTCAATCCTAAAACTACGTTGTTTTGGAAGTAAATGTAGATAACTTATCTGCATTAACTGCAGGATTTTTTTTTTTTTTTTTATATGGAAAATATGTTTGTCTTCCTTAAAGGATATAATTTTGTGTCATTTTAGATTCCCATCGTTGATTTTCATCGATCTATGATTATAATTTATGGGGAAGGATATTGTAACAACCAAATAACAATGTTACTACCAATCAATTTTACTGTTAGATCGATTATGTTGATCCAGCAGTTATATTTATTTCCATCTTTGTATGATTATGATTCTCCATATTTAATACTTTATATTTATTTTCACTATGATTCCCTATATTTACAAAGATGAAAATAAATATAACCGTTGGATCAACATAATCGATTTAACGGTGAAATTGATTGATAGTAACATTGGTAGTAACTAATTGGTGGTTACAATATCTTACCCCATAATTTATTATAAATTACTAATTAATTAATAAATTTGACCCAATAAATTATATCAATTGATTGACGAAAATCAAGAATTAGAAAATAAAATAATACAAAATTACAACCTTTTGAAATCACATAAGTTTTTCCGTTTTTTATATATTTAGGTTTAAGGTGGTTGTTTGTCCATGTAGACATTTGCGACTTTTCCTATTTTGTGGGAAACTAGAGTAGCTTTTCCGGAAAGCTCGAAGGACTTCCTGCAATATGGGATATAAGGTTTTGGGTTTTGCATTTCATTAGAATCAGATTCCAATTAATGTCTGTCACGCAGACCACCTTCATTTTTGTTCCTTTTCTGCCCAGAAAAGCATGAAGGATCAAAGTGTCCATTTTTTCTCTCTGTCTAATGTGTGTTAGTGGAGGAATGAATGGAGTGTGAGTGAAGAGACAAATTTACAGCTTTCGCCGTTTTTGTGGGCTTTGAGAGTATCATAGTGATGGAGGGAAGAATCTGCGAGGAATTAACACCCAGGTATTATGCCCTTTGCGCCTTTGGAGGAATGCTCAGTGCTGGCACCACCCATCTTGCTATTACTCCTCTTGACGTCTTGAAAGTCAACATGCAGGTGCTTTTCAATTCAATTTGTTAACTCATTTTGTTCCAAAGATCGTGGTTTACTTTGTTTGATTATGGGACAAAAATGGGGTTGTGGAAAGATTGAATTTTTTTGGCTACCCTTATAGTATGAAACTGAGATGAGGTTATATGAGAATGGTTTTTGAACTTGATGTTTAGAAATAATAATATTTGATCATGTTTGTTGATGGGGGAGTGATGTTGTTACATGTAGGTGCACCCAATTAAGTATTACAGCATTTCCTCGTGTTTTACTACCTTAATGAGGGAACAAGGGCCTTCTGCCCTCTGGAGAGGTTGGACCGGCAAGTTCTTTGGCTATGGTGCTCAAGGAGGATGTAGATTTGGTCTCTATGAATATTTTAAGGAATTTTATTCCAACTTATTGGTAAACCAGAACAGGAGTCTTGTTTTCTTTCTTAGTAGTGCGTCTGCTGAAGTTTTTGCCAATTTAGCACTATGCCCTTTTGAAGCTGTTAAAGTGAGGGTTCAAGCACAACCCTGTTTTGCTAAGGGCTTGATTGATGGCTTTCCCAAGTTATATGCAGCAGAAGGCACACGAGGGTAAAGAAAGATTCAATACATTAGTTTCTTACTTGGTGTGCATCTCCCTTTAGGGGATGATTATGATTATTTATCTTCTCTTCTGTGTACTGCTTGCAGATTCTACCGTGGACTTATTCCACTTTTGGGTCGAAACATTCCATGTAATTTCATAATCTCTTTGGCTGCCATTCTATCTTGTGAATTCTTATAGCATATAACTATCTGCCAAAAAATTACTGAAATTTTAATATCTTGCTTTTCTATATGGTTTATGTTTCTATATCTTTATCTTTCCCGCTCTACTTAAATTATATTATTATACACATATTGAGGTTCAAATAGGTATTCGACTGATCAGGTTATGTGCGTTAGTTGCCTGTTGATTGATAAAATATCGATGGACTTCTTTCAAGCTAAGCATGCTGAGTAATCAAATATACATTGGGACTATGTTCTTGTAAATAATAAATTTTATTCTTTTGGATTAGTATGGTGATAGAATATGTAGTTTCAATGATAGTGAGCTATAACTTTATCAGTTGTCCATCAAAGAAATGAATACTAAGTATTCTGCTTATACTTTGGGCAGTTTCAATGGTCATGTTCTCAACATTCGAGCATTCTGTTGATTTTTTGTATCGTAATGTTGTCAAAAGAAAAAAGGAGGATTGTTCAAAAGTTCAACAGCTTGGTGTGACATGTTTAGCTGGATATGCAGCTGGATCTGTTGGTAGCCTCATTTCTAATCCAGCTGACAATATTGTAGCTTCTCTTTATAACAGAAAGGCTGATAGTCTTGTGCTGGTATTTTTTTTCTTCTCATTTGGTTTATGATACTTCCTTGAGAGATTGGAGAGGTCTTACTAATGTTCTCCTCTTATTTTGTTCCCAGGCTATCAGAAAAATTGGGCTAGCTAATCTATTTACCCGGAGCCTTCCTATTAGAATGTTGGTGGTTGGTCCTTCTATAACTTTACAATGGTTTTTCTATGACACCATCAAAATTTTAGGTGGACTGTAAGTGTATTGCTCCCTAAACTTTTAAGTGATATTTAATAGTTTGTTCTGTTTTATTTAAATAGTATTATTAACTAATTTTTAATCCGCCATTTTGTATTTTAGTTATAATTATATTCCAGGATGTACTCTCTCTCTCTCTCTGGACATAAACAAAGGAAGAGAGCAAACTACAGAAAGATATAGATGATTAATAATTTAATGGTGAAGATTATATTTTTACTAAAAAATAAATGTATAACTCAATGAAGAAGACATTTGGTCTAAAATATCCACAAAAATTTTATGGTCACAAATTCTTGATTTTAGATCCTAATTCTCTTGTTCAAAAATAGTCACAATGTAAGAGAGCCTTAATATGTCTGGATCTTGGTATTGCAACACAAACCATCATTTCCTTCCGCTTGCACCTAGTATGACTGTATGAGGCTGCCCTGGGGCCAGGGGAGGCTGGGAGTTGATCATTTACGAAATTTCAGTTGCCTATATAGAAAATGGTCTCATCTGTTACTCTATGAGGAATCATATTCTTGCTTATGAATGCATTTACATTGCATGGTTTACATCTATATTTGTATCACCTATATTGACGGTTTTCTGTGTCTTTGGGATATAACTTGATCACATGGATATGCCATTGTTAAAGAGTGATTGAGTCATTTGCACTATGCTTTGCTTCAGAAAAAAGTAAACGTTATCTTTCGACTCCTGTAGATGAATGGAGATAGATATCTAAATTTAGTGCAAAAAACATAAAAAAAATGTCATGAAGAGATAGCATTATTTGCTTGGGGGGCTTGGTAAACTGTAACGAAATGAGCAGAGCAGGTCATGAAATGGTTTTTAATGGTCAAGAATACAGAATATGGTACTAGCTACCACCTTCGATCATTTTCTAACAAGAAAATGGTAAATCCTGGTGCATAAGGCTCCCCGACTTGTGAGGGTAGGGGTGAGAGTCGGCTTTTTGACCATTGTGCTGCCCCTAATTAAATTAAAAAATACCATTATGCTCCCGCTTTTAAACTATTTAAAAAATATGACATTTCTCCTAAACATAACACCAATATGCCTTTGTTTGATCGTTGACTGACGCTCATATACTCGAGTACGTAACCAAGATAGTCGAGTAAATTAGGTGTCATGAGTTTCTACTCGATTACAGGACCCTGATACTCGAGTATGGAACCATATACTCGGGTATCAGGGTCCTGTACTTGAGTATGATGAGTTTTTACCATAAAACTTCGGAAGACCATAACTTTTGGCTCGAGGGTCAGAATCAGGTGATTTTTGTTTTGATTTCACATAATTTTTGAGATCTATGCACTAGAAAATTCCCGAAGGATTATTTGTTAGTGTTGGAAAGTAAATATTTGAATAACATCATTCGCAAAGATAAAATATGTCAAGCGGTGCACAAAGAAGCATTTTTTGGACCAAGGATTTGTGCGCGTAGCTCTTGAAAAATTATGTGGAATAAAAGCACATGATTCGGACATCCGAGTCAAAAGTTATGGCCATACGAAGTTTTCCGATAAAATTTCCCAAATTTTGTAATGCAAATAGGTCTTGTGATACCCACAAAGCCCCTCCTCAGGTCACATGAGTCTAGTCTAATATTGTGATTATATGACCATAGAAACTTGTTTGATCCAAAAAAATTTGTGGAAAAAAAATTTATATGGCTCAGTTCACGGATATAATCGATTACCGTATGCTGGTGTAATCGATTACTTGGTCCAGCCAACAATCAGGAATGTGTGATATGAGCCTCAGTTCACTGATATAATCGATTATCTTATGCTGGTGTAATCGATTATTTGGTCCAGTCAACGGTCAAGAATGCCTTATATGAGAGTTTTATTAAAAAAGCCAACTCTCACAAGTAACTTGGGTTGAATACTCGAGTATTGTTCATGATCTGGGTTTTGTATGAACATTTACTCGAGTACATGGGTGGTGTACTTGAGTAAATGTTCATAAAAACCTAGATCACGAACAATTCTCGAGTATGTTACCTGTGTACCCGAGTATTTAATGTTTCGCACAATATACTCGAGTATCAACCTCCTGTACTCGAGTACATAAATCGGTCAATGGTCAAACAAGGTTTGATTGGTATTATGTTTCGGTACGAGGGCAAAGCGATAATATTTATTTTTATTAAGGGCAAAAGGGTCAAAAAGCCAGTGAGGGTCGATTGTTCGCAATTTTATCCTTGTATTTTTGTAAAGAGGTTGTTTCCCAGACTCGAATCTTTGAACTTCCTTTCAAAAGAAGAAACCTTATTGTTGCTCCAATGCTCGCTCTCAATTTTTTTTTTTAATAATAAGAATACAAAACAACATTGTAGCCGCAGGCTAAGATCTTTGGTTTAGATGGGACCTTGAACTGCCTTAATAACAATGTGGGGTGTGAATGAGTGTGTTTAACTTAGCTGGTCTGGGTACGACTTAACCATTTAGCATACCAAAAATGTAAAAAGGCTAGGATTGTAGTCAAGCAGGTTGATGTTCTAGAGTTGTTGTAGTGATGATAGTAATATTATATACAAGATAGCCCATCAAATTATGTTAACAGAAATGCTGAGAATGGAGTAGCATGGCTTGCAAACATCTTCACTGGCCATAGACTTGTACTGCTTGATCACAAAGAATATTTTCTGATGATGATTTCGCAAAGGTGTTAAATACAATGTATAATAGAGATTTTTTAGGTTTATCTATACTAGTTTTATGCTGTCAAGGCGTGGTATTTATATTGTTCTATTTGATACGCTCAGAATCAGCCCTAAAATTAACAAATCTAAGCCTTTTGTTGTCTATGTTAATGTTAATGCACCCTGAGGAATTGTGAAGGAAATGATGTCCTGAACCAATAAACTTCAAATACATATTCTCTATTTTCTGAAACGTGTTCTTGTTTTGAAACCTTGCAGGCCAACTAGTGGTGAAGTGGCAACTGACTTGACAGGAGATGTGGCAGGCTAGATTCAAAGAAATGGAATTCTGCAGTCGCATTTTCCTGATGTGATTGTGTATGATTGCAAGTCATTTTAAAGTATATATAGGAATAGTGTGTGGTAGCTTTTGTTTTCTGCCACCATTTAGGCTTGTTGAATTTTCCACTATAGGTTTTAATTGAAGCTTTTGGAATTTGATTACGGAAAAAGAATGAGGACTTGTTGAACCCATTTATGTTCTGATGTGTACTACCATACCAAAATAATTAAATAAAAAACTGAGATTTACTAGCAATGCTTGTGCTGAAAATTTACTGGTCAGTGATTTGTCCATGCCTGTTGGTATGCCACACGCCCACACTCAATTTTAATTGATCTTGAGTTCTTATAATCCTCATACTTAAGCTATCTTCTTAATTTACATTTTCTTGTTCTTGTAAGTGGTTTCCAGTCTCTCCACAATGTTATGATGTTTTAAACATTGAAGGAAAGGAACATTTCACCACTTCAACAGATAGTGAAGGAAGAAACATCCATCTTAACAGTTTTTAATCCAACAGTCGAATTGATTTAAGAAGTTACATTTCTCTGTCAACTTTAAGAAACTGAATCATAGAGGACACCATTATTGAAGGTGTAGGTACAGGCAAAGATCATGGCTCACGAGCAGTATAATAGGCAGTAGCTAATAAATGAGAGGGGACTGAGGATGAGATATGAGGGGGCATATTGTATTGTCACCACTCACCAGATGTCCTTGAAAGTTGAGCATGATGTGGTTTGTTATTAAAGGTGCAGTCTCATTATCAGCCATGTGACGTGTGTATATCAACTTCGCTTTCAGGAACACTTTCGGTTGGACCCGTTTAACTTCCGTCCTTTTTAACTCAAGATACATGATCATGTCCTACCTAATTGTAGACGGAAAAAACGGATGATGGACCCAATTGAATTCTCTCACTTTCAACTCTCTAGACAAATACCTTAATAGTGAAATACCAAATTAGGAAGTCCATAGCACAAACTTTATATTTATTATATCCTACTGCGGTGAAAAACTGTAACATAGAAGACTACTTTAGTTAAAGTAAAACCATACGATGTGGCATGAACAATAAGGGTAATTCAAATCGTTCTAAGTTAAATTCATGAATTTTCTCTTAAAAGGTTTTATACAGAAGTGGTTCCGTAGTAAGTAGAGGGATGAAGCGTGCACTCACGAAACACGAAAGCACTCACGGGATTCATCGCAAAGTTGTGTTTCTGTTTCTATACCAAAATAAAATAAAAATCAAAACTGCTACAGTGCTACGATAGAACGCTTATCCAAAATTTTTTGTTTTTTATTTGTCAAAAAAACTTTTTGTGAAAACACTAACCAAACGGCCCAGAACATTGGCCTTAATCTTACCACGTTGTCTTGATATCACAAAGTGAAGACTATTTTGTAGCTTGGAGAGAAAATAAATAAATATAAAATGCTAATTTTCACAACTCATAACCACAAATATATATATATAAGGCAGGATCCTTTGAGTCAAACTTAAAAATTTGACATTAAATTCTAACTGTTGATTTCTGACGGTTATAATTTATTAAAAATTACTAATTAATTAATAAATTTGACCCTATATATGGCAAGATCTTTTTATATCGGTGTAAGAGCAATAAATCTTACACTCAATCTTAGCCATTGATTTTATATATCTAACGATTATAATTTATTGAGAATTAATAATTAATTAATGACAATAATCCAATTGCTTATAATCGTTTAATGAACAAAAATGAATAGTTAAGAGTGAGTGTAAATATTTCTGTAGCTGTTTTACATGCAGCAATTAAATACTTGTCATATATATATATTTGAAAGCATTAAATGCGAGGAATCATAACCATACAAATGATGAAATCATAACTATACACCTGTCATTGCTGTACGTAAAACAGCTACAGAAATAATTTTATCATATAAAAGAAAAAGTAGACACTCACGTTGGCCTATGACAGTAATCTTCAAATTTTTGTGTTATATTAGCGCATTGGACATGGTGATCCAATGACGGAAAAAACAAAGTGTTACTAACAGTTGTACATTTGCATATACCCCCTGGGAACCAACTGGGCAGATATATCTTGGAGGGGCACAGGAGGGTCCACCTTGAACTTAATTAATCAAGACATTAGCAGGCCTAATGTTCAACCTAACTAATCTTATCCCAAGTTTGAAGATCTGAATATATATATATATATTGGTTCGGCCTGTGCATTTTGCATAATTAATTAAGACATTAGCAGGCCTAATGTTCAACCTAACTAATCTTATCCCAATCTTAAAAATATATATTGGTTCTGCCTGTGCATTTTGCATAAATGTGACTCAATGTGGGTGGGGGATCGGATCGCCACCTAAGTTCTTTATTTTCGAATCATATTCTTCGTATGAATCATTAAGTTCATCGAAACGACCAATTATAAAATAATTGTTACAAGTTAAAGAACTTTGTGCCCCCCCGCTTCATGCCCATTAATAATGCCCCATGCTTCAATTAAATTTTAATACATTATACAATGACAGTTACTTAAAAAAACGAACGAATCTAAATCCACACACAAAGTATACCCGTAAAGTCCAAACAGGTGTGGCTCAAAAGTTTTTTACAGGTTATCTTTTTCCGTTTTGTACATAAGAAAAACTTAACCATCATTTGTTGACAATAATTAAATTTTGATTGGCCAATTAGCACCTTCTTTGCGTCATTGTTAGCTCGACCAACTTTTGTCACCTTGCCAATTAGCAGATGGATTAAATTGAGTTTGTAACTCAATTAACGACATGATCCATGATTATCATTAAGCAAGCAAAAGATAGTAATTAAAGTAAATATGCAATATGCAAGTTACTAAACATAAGAAAGTTACATAATTATGCACCGTGTTCTAGGAACGCTATATATGAAAAAGTTAAGCGCCAAGAGAACACAAGCTTAGAGAATCGGATTCTCTATTGCATTTTTATCTCAAGATTCTATTAACCAGATTATGGGTGATTTATACGTATAAAAGCTCATTCTTCCAGTAATTATTGTGCAAACCTTTTTGGTGCATAATATGACATTATATCTAAGTTAAGTACAAGGGAAATTCTATCAAGAATAATAATGTCAATAATTAATTTTTTCCGTCTAAATGTGTCAACTTCCATAGTTTTTGGCATCAAGGGGACCTAAAGAAGTTGTATACGCTGCTGATGTATGATCCTTTCACTCATTATACTGCAATTAAACATGAAGAAAGCAGCAGTTGAGTGTCTTATAGTGCCACGCCGTGGCATGCATCGTTTTAATTCTTGAAGTTTGACATGTTAGCCAAAGGACCACGAGCTGAATCAGATGGTGTGTGTCTGTGTCCCACTTGTGTTTGACATTTTATTATGTTGTTGACAGAAGGAATTAGTGGCTGCCAGGGTTGGAAATAAAGCTGTCTTGAATTCTTTAATATACCTTACTCTGTAGACGGATTCATCGCTTGACTTTTTATTAGCTGTATATCTATGATTGTGAGGCTGCGTTGGATGATCTTGTGGACCACTTCCACATTATCATCACTCTAGAGAACTCAGAAACTGGGATATTTTAGTTTTAGTTGATTGATATTTTATTTTTTATGTTGTGTGAGATAATTTTAGAGTTTAATGTTTCTATTTTTGGGGAAAAAATTCTCTGTTACACTACACATAAAAGTGAGTAGGTCGTGTTAGTATTTTCTCTCTTTTTTCTTTATAATAGTATCCATTTATTTTTATGTAAGTGTGACAGAATTTTTTTTATAATTTTATTTCCTACACATTAATAAAAGTATATGGGGTTTATTTTATTTTTTTCTCTTCTCTTTGCATCACTCCATATATTTTTATATGTGTTAGGAAATAAAATTATTTACTAAATATTAATCCCTTAGTTATATGCAAACACAATTCCCTACTGTTATTAAATTATGATTTATGACGTGATGTGAAATCTCGGCCAATTTTGGGAGGAGGTTACCACCTTGTATTTGTCAAACTATCTTTTTCCAATGTCAAATAGCCCATTCTAAAAGTTAAGGTGACAATCAACGAAGGCAAAATTATTATAAAGAAAATATATACTTATCATATTTTTTTTCCTTATAATTACTTAAAAAATTTTATTTGATATATCTATTCTTTTCTCTCTCTTTTTCTTGATAGAATATATCTATTCTTTTATGAGGTAGATTATATTCACAAACTTTTTTATTTACAAACTCTTACAAACTACACTATCTTCTCCCAGGAGAACACTAATTTCACTATGTTCCCCCGAGAGAAAATAGTGTAATTTATAAAAATTTATCAAAAAAAGTTGTAAACGAATCATTCCCCTTCTTTTATTAGGAACTTTTTATTTTATCTTATAATTTTTCCATTCACGAATGACTATAGAAATGTAGGAGTCATGCTGTATACAGAATTGAAACAAATTCAAGTGCAATAATACATTCCGGAACAGAAGTATAGATAGCATTAGGCTACTACAACTAGCAAAGCTTTAGAGCTTTGCCCATCTTGTTCTTTATAAATATATTGACCTGGGTCTATGACCTATTTTCCCCATTAAGTAATCTCTTTGAAAGGATATTTATGATAATTTAACATACTAAACATATGTAAAAAATGTTCTCCAGTTGCCCACGTGACTAAATGGGCCAAGAGAGCTGGTAAGTATTTACTAATCAATATGATAATAATAATTATTGTATTTAGCTCTTTTTCCTTGTTATTAGTCCTTCAAGTATATTCGATTTCTTATCATCAAAAAGTTTCAGCAAAGTAAACTTCATTCATATTAGAGTGCAATTAGCAACAGTACCAAAGCTAATGAGATGGCATATTGCACTAAAAGAAGACTTTCTCTAGAAGTGGTACAAAAGGTAACAATAATTCGTTTAACAATGGAGTGAAGGTGCACTTCTACATACATAAACAATTAAACATAGTACATAATCATCTACGGTTTCTCCCTCCACTATCCATCTCTAGTTTGCCTGTTGGATTGTGTACATTTCTTTCTACTTTCAAGACAACAGAAATACAAATGAAATCAAATCGAAAATTCAAATTTTACAGGAAAAGAAAAAAAATCAGAAAATATAGAACAATGAAATCTACAATTTGTGCCGCCAAGTCAAAGCAAATTATAACAGCCAACGAAGGCTGTCAATTCATTCTCTTACGATCCATTTCTTAACATATTATTGACCACAGACTCTTGAGGTATATTTGTCTCTATTTCCAAATGCATATCCCTGCCAAATAGGAAAATAGAAAACATCAGCAGCCATGGCTTCCCTCTTAGCTATCATTCCCTCTGAAGAACTCCAGCCATGCCACAAGTAGTGAACCTAAGTTAATCAGAGCAACAAACATTAAGGTTAAGCCTATAACTATTTCATAATCAATATTCACACCAATTTTGATGTTGATGTGTTGACCTGGAAAACAACTCAACTCACTCGTGGAATCTGATGCTTGCCAATGTCAGTATATGAAATTAAGCTTTCACATAATCAACCCCGTCACGCTTTCTTTTGTTAGACTTTGAAAAGAAGCAGATCTGAGCCCAACTCTTTTTCTGCTTGAGTGGCTGTGATTTAACATCCTTCTTTTCTCCCTTCTCCACAAGCTCAGACATGTACTGAACAACAGCCTGATTGATATGCACCAACACATGAAAATTGAGATTCAATAAAACAGAAAGGTCTTTATTAAAAGTTAAAAAAAAGAAGGGAAAGATACCTGTGCTCCCTTCTCAGCTATATGCCTTGGTGGAACTTCAAGAGGATTCTCTTGCACTCGCAGGACGCGTAGTCGAGTGAGCATCCTAAATGAGTCAGGAAGAACACGTATCTGATTATTGCTGATATCCAATTCCTCAAGCATTTCGAGGTTTCCAATGGATCTTGGTAAGGATCTCATGTCAGCAAAATTGTTTCCTATGTTCATCTTGACAAGCGAGGTAGCAAAACATAAGCTCTCAGGCACTGACTCAAGCTCATTGAAACTTACATCAAGTTCTTTCAGGTTTGTTAGAGATGACATTGTTGTAGGCAGTTGTTTGATGTTATTGTACCGCACGGACAAAACCTCCAGGCTCTGAATCTTTCCTACAGCTTCAGGTAGGGCTTTAAGCCGATTATAGTCAGCGCGGAGCTCTCTAAGGGAAGAACAATTACCAATAGAATGTGGAATTTCTTCTATATCATTTGTTTCCACATTCAATATTTTTAGGCTAACAAGTGACCCTATAGAGTCAGGAAGCACTGGAAGCTGATTTGAACTCAAATCAAGCTCCTCAAGACGAACCAATCTGCTAAAAGAAGCAGGCAGGAATGATAACTGGTTTCCCCGCAGATCTAGATATACCAGACTAAGGAGATTTCCAACAGAATCAGGGAGCTCCGTGATCCTATTGGCATGCAAGTCCAATCTAGTCAAGGATGAAAGGCCTCCAATTGTAGAAGGTAAGGCCATAATCCTATTCTCAGATAAATCAAGGGTGAATAAACTTGATAACTTTCCTATCGAATCAGGCAGCCAGTCAACTTGGTCCATCAACTTGTTCTGGAGTTTGAGATCACGAGTTCCTTTCTTTGCAGAAACTTCAATTAAGCTAGCAAGTTTTATCAAACTCAACTTATCACCATCTTTACCTGCAAATCAACATTCCGTTAGGACAAGATTCCCTAGGCTACAACACAAGTTCCAATATGAGTAACTGGATACTATGGCTACCTAAACAATAATAATAATAATAACCGAATTGAATGTTGAGTGGCATATATGGTTACCTGAAGTAGTTGTGGGTTTTAAATTTAATGATGAATCCAATATCTGGGGTTTGGAAGGGATACTAGGTTCAATTCCATACCCGTTGGAGTAGAATGTGGACTTGACCTTCTTTACATAACTGTCATCTCGTGTGAACAACTCAGAAGTCTTCACAGGTTCTTTCTCTGCATTGAACAAGCTGGAAGAAGCAGCAGCAGCGGCTACAGGAAGAGGCTTATCAAAACCGCCCAGAGAAGCTGAAGCAGAAACCGAATTAATAGAGAAGCTAGTGGAAACAGTGGAAGTGGAACAGTTGGAGTGACTGGTTTTGCGAGAAGTGGAATTGGAAGGAGGAGAGGAAACACACTGGGAAGCTCTCTGAATCAAATCATCAAACAGAGAGTGAACGTTCTCAAGATCAAGCAGTTTCATAGCCTCCCTCTTCTGCTCCTTGCTCTGGAAATAAACCATGTTCTTCTGCATCTCTTGAAGAACCATGAAAAGCTCTTCAGGCACATCAGGTCCCTTGCTTTGTCTCGCTATGGATTCAAGCCTCGCTTGGTCTTCCTTCTCAACATTTATAATCAAACCTTTCGCCGCTTCAACTTCATCAATCCCTGGTCTAGCTGGCAAAGATCTATGAATCCTCATTATCTCTTCCACTACTCCATCAACCGATGACCAAGACTCCATCTTTCGTTACAATCACACTAACCCCACAAACACCCAGATTCTGAATCCTCGAAATTATTACCCAAATTTCAAAACTTGGAACACAATACCCAACACCCCAGTTCGAAATGAAACCTTTTTTTTTTTTTTGGGTTCAGTTCAAAACGAGCAATGAAGAAGAAAGGTGAAGATGAAGAAGAGGGTGTTTTGAGGGTGCGAGAATGGATAATGACATATGAGTTGTGAGTATCAACAAGATCTGCATCATCATCATCATCAACATCTCATACAATTGCATCTTCCTCTTCTTCTTCTACTCTCGTTGCTTGTTTTGTCTTATGCGCAACTTTTCTAATTCCCCGATATACCCTTCTTTCATTCCTTAAATAACCACACACGCCACCCCGTCTTTCTTGTTTTGTTTTCCCAGCCCGCGGTTTTATTAACGGCCGTTGGTTAGGACTTTTAATTCATAAGACAGTTACTAAAACATATATAGTTAAGGGAAATTGTGTAGTGAAATGTGGGGAAGAGAAAGAAGGTTATTTCGTGTTAATTTGTTTATGGTTCGCTTTTTTTTGTGGGGAAGAGAAAGAAGGCTATTTCGTGTTAATTTGTTTATGGTTGATTGTAATTTATATACAGTAAATCTAATACGAGACGTTATTTTAGGACGGAAATCATGATATTTTTATAATTTTAATTTACCAGGATTATTATAATCTTTATAATATATTTTTATAATCTTTCAATCTCAAAACGACATTGTTTTGACAATAAATACAGATAATATATCTATATTAATTGCAGAAATATTTTTTTATTTGTTTATTATAATAATATGGCAATCATATAAGAGATTTTATTTTTATTTCTTTAACTTAATTATTTTTTTTGAAGTGAGTTAGAACTTCGCTATTTTCACTATTCAGTGAAAAAAAAACTGATACAATATGATACTAAACCCCAATAAAACAGTATAATAATTATTCAGCTCTAATATATAAAAAATTACCTCCAAAATTTAAATCCTTACTTTTTTTAATAATTCATCTATTTTAAATTTATATTATCACATTAACCAACCTGTTTATAACGATCAAACAAATTTTGATCCGTAAAAATATATATAATAAACATAGAAAGTGAGTGTCTAGAAAAATATTGCACAACATTGGAAAAGAGAGTAAATCCAAATGCAAAGGGAGAAGGAGGGACAGGTGTAAGTGTTGGGAGGGGGGACACGTCCAAAGGTGTATCCAGCTGGCATTGCTATTACTTACTCCAGAACCTTAACCCTTTTCTGCGGCTAACCCGACAACAACACTGCAAAACAACCAGATTTAGATTCAATTCAATAACTTACTTTTATTTTTTATTTTTTTAATTAACTCAATCTTAATTATTTTTTTAAGATGAGTTAGCTCTTTTTAGTATATTTATAAATTTTGATTATTTGAGAAGATTAAAAAATTAATCTGAAATATGAGATAAGTCAAGAACGAAGATATTTAAACATCATATAAAAATTAAATTAATACCTTTTTTTTTTCACTCACTCAATTCTCTTATTATTAATTCAGTGCCGATTAATCTTCCAATATGCTAGTTTCAACAATTCTCGTTCTTTACATTTCTTCCTAACTGAATTTTTTATCTCTCTCAATTCAAAAATCTAAGATTTGAATTGATGTCCTTTCATCGAATTCTCTTAAATTGCATTGAATTATCCGAAAGATTTGATAAGAAGTTGATCTTATTTTATTTTTACCCTTAAGGTTATAGTTGTTCATATTGTGAATGAGATAGAGAGGTGGGGTTATGGTCGTGGTCATGGTCATGGGCCTCTCATGGCGTCATGACTCAAATCAATCACAATAATAATCTCTTTTCTGTTTCTCTCTCTATCAATGCTTCATAATCCTCCCATGATCTATAACTCTGATATCACACTCAGCCTCACGTGCTGTGCCTTTATCTGTCCCCTTACCTTCAGGCGAAGCCCATGTTCATGTTACCCTCATGCTCCTACATTTTCTATACACCTATTTATAAGTATACATAACCAACCACCACCATCCTCATCCACTACTTCATGGGTCATTCATTTTTCACAGGTTAATATACCTTGAATCTTCACAATAAAACTTTTGATAATACTGCATATGAATATCGTTATCTAGCCCCTGAGGCCTCTCACCTTGTGTAAATGTTACTAAAAATTTATGTGAATGAAAATTCATTGCTTCATTGAGGAATATGACTTGATAAGGCAATGCCAGCAAAACTAAGCAGCTACACCTTTCACCCTCTGCCTCTTGTTCTGCCTTGCCCCCCTTATCATTCATGCAATCAATCATATGTATGTATGTATGTATATGCTTGTTTTTTTACTACACGAAGTCTACTTATACATTTTCAAATTTCACTAATTAAAGATATAAAATTATTGAGGTATGGGATTCAATTAGGTGTTGACCACAAAAACAACACCTTCCAATTTTTATCTGTTCATTTTAGAAAAGTATAAATTTTTGTTTTATTTTTGTAGTCATGTTTTTTATTCTAAGAAAAGAAATAGGTAAGATATATACTTCATTTCTTTAGTAACTATATATTTGTTGACTTCTCGTGGACTATGAAGAATATACTCTACACATCTGTCGCAATTTCTTGAAAATGAGGAAAATATGGTAACTTTAAGTTTCATAATATTCATGATACTGCATGGAATCCAAGATACGAATTTCAAGGTTTTACATATATGAATTAATTTGGAAAAATAACTTCTTAAACTTTGAGAAACTTAAAATTAGTATCTCTGCCTTGTTATGGATATGAAACGCATTCATCAAAAACATAAGCTAAATAAATGGTGTATTAAAAAATCATGTTATATTTGTGTGATTAATTAGCAAAAGTATATGACTTAATTAATTAATTGTAAGTGTGTTCCTGTGGCCTAATCTTAATGCATGTAGCAAATGCATAACTGTAGTTGATGAAAGTGACACGTTTAAATACATTCCGAGTAAATATGGACAACGTCAAAGAACACACCCACTTTACCGTTAAGCTTTACTTACGTACCCTGATTGTCTATATATTTTCACTTTATTTAGAAATAAAGTATATTTTCACTTTACAAAGTATATTTAAAAACAATGGGTGTTTGGATACAGTTTTGAAAAAGGCAAAAGTTATAAAAAATAATAATAATAAAATGTGTTTTTTGGAAGCCAATATTTCTGTTCAAAAGCCAAAATACTGCTAGATATTGATTCAACACAAAATAGGTCTAATTTTTTTTAAGAAAATCATTTTTTCAAAGTACATCCAATGACGGGTCATAATAAGCCTAATTAAACGCAACGTAATCTAATTTATTTAAATCCCTATTTACAAATTCAAATCGTTAATTGTTATCCAAAATAACGCCCCCCCCCCCCCCCAAAAAAAAAAAAAAAACACACAAGAGTTACCATGTTTTTTTATAAATAAATAAATAATTTGGTTAATAGGGCATTATTAGCTAAATAGACGTTAATCCGAACAACTACATTGATTTTTTTTTTAACAACTACATTGATTTTTTTTTTTTTTTTTTTTTGGAGAATACAGCTATATTGATATTACTAGTTAAAGAGAAGATGGGAAATCCAAATATCTCATGCTTATAAAGAAGGAAACATGGTGATTGATTGGATGAATGCAAATGCATAGTTGGAAAACTTTTTTGCTTGGGAAATTCCTGATAGGGAAATGATATTCAGAGGGAAATGATAGAAAATGGTAGGAAGATATAAAAAAAAAGTTGTTTGGTTGAAAAAAATTTAATCGAAAAAATTAGGTAACTTTTATAAAGTCTATGTTTGGTTGTAGATAAAATATAGATGGAAAAAAAAGTTGATATTACGAAAATATCTCTGTTTATAATTTTTTTTTTGAAAAGCATGACCAGTGTCTTTTTAGTTTTTTTTTGTGGCTTCCATTTTAATTTGGATACTAAGTAGGAGGATTAGTTGGTCGGTTGACATCCAGCATAGTTTATTTGGCCGGCTAACATGCAATAATACCATGTATCAAGAGGGATTATTTGGCTGGGTTTCTCAAACAAATACCTATGAAAATTGTTTCGGTGGAATAATCATTTAGGTAGCCATATATTCCAAATGTTTAAACCAAACAAAGGGATCCAATTATCCCACTTCTCAAATACACATCTATCTCAATATAATAATCCAACCAAACATCCCATAATAGTGATTTTAGGAGGCGTTTGGTAAAGGAGAAATTGAAAAAAAGATTTCTGGATATATGGTGAAAAAAAAAATCTGGATAAGTCACTAGAATGTGTTTGGTAGGACAATATTTTTTCAGAAATATTGAGTTAATTTTACTAATGCTATGTTTGGTTGATTATAAAAAATAGATGAAAATACAAACCAAATTACAAAATTAGCCTTGAATATTGAATCTTCTGTCATACGCTCATTTCACCTCTGCATTCTCTCAGTCTCCAGGTTCATTCGTTTCTTTGCGTACATTTCTGATTTTGTTGCATGAATAAATGGACCCAGTACCGTCTATCATGAATATATGAACGGAGTCAACCTTGGTGTTAGCTTAGAACAACTTCCATTTTAAAAACTACTTGAGAGAGAATCGCTTCAGGGATTTTGCTTCCAGTTGATGATAACCAGATGACACACTCTCTGTCTAATCAATTTTACTCGCCCATGGCAATCAAGGGGAATCCCTTAACATCCCAAAGAAATAAAAATAAAAAAATAAATAAAAAAATAAATACCAATTCCATAAGGATCTTCTTTCTGGAGACAAAAAGGAAACAATGATCAAACAAAACACAAAGAACACATTTTACATAGAAAAGTCAGCTAATCCCATTGCATATCTGGCGTATTCGTTAATGTGAAGTGAAACTAGAAAGCAGGAATAGGAATAACCAATGGTAAGACAAAATGAGAGTTTCATTATCCAACACATACCAGCCACACACAGTGGAGAGCCGAGGAAGAGCAAAACGCTTTTTTCAGACCAATTGTGTTTCAGCGCAAACCCCTTTTTTTTCACACAAGTGATAAGCTATTGAATATTGATGTTGATAAGCTCATCAGGGTATTTTCGTCTGGGAAAAGTGCAACTCATTTCCCATCGGTTGGGAAAAAAAAATTATCATCCCATCGATGGTAAACTTTGATAGCACTCCACTGTGTAAATGCAAGTTATGGGAAACACATTTTCCCTGCTTTTTTTTACTTTTCTTTTATCAAACGTCGAAAAATAATTTTCTCATCCTTAGTTTCTTGGGAAAAAAAAATTTCTTTCTACTAAACACCCCCTTAGAGGTATCTCTAGGCCCAGAGTTATAATATCTAGCTAATTTGTTTATTTTCCCGAATGTATCAAAAAAATGAAGAATAAAATTAGGCATTTCTGTTAAGATTAAATATTAAGCCTCGCATCAATTAAGTTTGTGTCCTGTGTTTAAATTTTCTAAAAATTCTCATTACAAATGTTATCTTAGTGCGGGAATGTAAAAAGAGAGATAAAGATACAGACAATGAAATGGTATTTGATATTTTAGCACCACGATGTAAAATATTGAATTAGGTATTATAATCTGTGAAGTTACCATATACTCAATTTAAATTACGCATTCTTCAATGAGATTTTTGTAGTTTAATTCGTACCTGTCTGTTCCAATCTTCAATATTCAAATATGAAGAAAATACTAGAGATTGAATATTCTTACAAATTTCAACTCTTTGAATTAACTATGAAATTAATCCCGAATCGGGACTTAGTCACAGTTAAAACTTATTGTCCCTCGTCAAAAATATATTTGACGAGAATCGAACTCAGATTCTCTCCAAACCTCACTGAGCGTAGTATGATAATTCGATAATTGATTCTTACTCTCCTTTTCTGTTCACAACATTTTCATGCAAAGCACGTGACAGACAGGCTTGCATGTTTGAGCCAATTCTCCCAAGTCCCAGCACGAGTTTTTCAAGCCTTATGAGCAGGCTTAACGGGCCCAGACCAAAACATTCTTACATTGAAAAAACAGAGCCACTCCACTTAGGCTAACATATTTTGTTGGCACAGCCTAACAAAAAACCTGGCCTCTGAATTTCAGACTTAACAGTTGAACTTAAATTGACAGCCCAAGACACAGGATGGGTTGGGCTTGGTAAAAAGACATCGCTGAATTGGTGCCTTCCAAAAGATGCCCTGTGAGTTCAATCTGCACGTCCAGTAAAAAAATGTCAAGCAATTGCTGGATACCATTCCCCTTAATCAATTTGTCTTGTGCGTTGCAGTTGGTGTGTCAATTAGATTGGTTCCAGTTTGCATCCTCCCAAATTAAAAATCCAGCCTCTGGTTTTATGTGGCATTTCCATTTTTTTATGAATAACTTCATTAACATCTATGACCACTATTTTTAAATTTTGAAGATTTCTGTACTATATTATTTATTAAAAAATGTTACTTTACCCTCCCATTCTTCTAGGAGATTTTCATATATGTGGAGAATGTTTTAAGGCTAGAAAGTGGATGAATTGGAGAAACTATTACGAAGTCCAATGCTGCTTGCTATGGTAGATAGGACGACAGTGCTATGTAAGTTTGTTATTGGTCAAGCACACCTTAAATTATTGGACAAACAAAAGTTGAGGCAACTTCTCATAAATTAGATTTCATTTGACCTTGTAGATGAAAATTGGTTGAGATGAAATCTTGCGGCAAGACACCATGCACCATATCATTTATTTAAAGTTTATGTAGCTGTCTTGTAATGAAATGGTATTTTGAAAAATCAGAAGATGCACCATTTGGAGGCACCAAATTTAGATGACAAATGATTATATACAAAATTCTTCAATCATATTATATACATTTATGATTATGTGTTATAAATCTTAAGGGTTGGCTTAGACGCATGTAATGTACAAGTACATAATCACAGGTTTGATTAATAACTACATCAATTATTTACGGTGATGAATCCCTTAGGGGGCGTTTGGTTTAGGAAATTTTTTTGGAATAGTAGGAAAATGAGATAAATAGAGAAATGATTGGAAAGATAGATAAAGTGAGATAGGTAGAAAAATGTAAAAAAAAGTTGTTTGGTGGGGAAAAATTTTACTGGGAAAATTAGGTAGCTTTATGAAATCAACAGTGCATTAAAAGCCAGATAACCGATTTTCTGAAAAATCTCACCTTCAAATTGGGTTTCTAAATAGTGCGGATATCTATGTTTCTCATAAATCCAGACAAATTGGATAGATGGGTTTTTGGTGAAAAACGTTGAAACAAACATGGTGTTTCTAAAAGCCATACTTGAGAAAGATAGATATCCGCTGAAAAGCTCCCAACCAAACACCACCTGAATGGCCTCTCATGATGTAAAATCTAATGAGAGAGAGAGAGAGAGAGAGAGAGAGAGAGATCATGTATTGTTCACACGGTAAACATTAAGCAGAACTCGAGGCTTTGACAAGATACCACCCGAAGCACAATTACTGCAACCTTGAGCTCCAAAAGATTTCAGTTGTTGTTAAACCTGAACTATGACAGCATTGGGAATATTATATGGCCTTTTATCATGGCAGACTGAATATTAACTCTCGCTTTGTTTGAAGCAAATCTATTAATCGATATCAACCACCTGAACAAAATTTTGCTATGGCCCAAAAAAGAAAAAAGAAAGAAAGAAAGAGAGATTTACATCTTTCTGGTGGTAGTTGTACCCTCCCTGTTTTAGCTGTGTTGCTATCCCTTTCTCTGATTGGATATGGACGGAGTTCTGACCTCAGATCTTGGAAGTCCCTTTCTCAACCTCTTTAAGGCTGGAGATCTGATATCCCCAGACTTGATCAATTTGTCATCTGCAAGTCGAGGGCATTGCAAGAATTAGAAATGACAAAGGCAGAAGATGATACTGTCAAAATATTGGAAAGGTTACAAAGAAAAAAGGTGTAAAAACAACCATAGATGTAACACCCTTGCCACCATATTATAAATTAGCTAAAACCAAATGTTACCCACAATTCCATTTCAAATTTCATCAAACATCATAAGATTTAAGGTTAAGAGCGAGATTTTAAAACAAATACAATCTGCCAAGTTTTTTGATATCAAGTGATCAGGTGTCTAACCTGTGTCAGAGGCATTCGTAAAAGTTTCCGTCTTTTTACTATGAGAATCTTTTGGAACGCAATCATAGTCTGAACGTATTGTGGAAACAGTGACTACTCCTTGCCTCATCTTCTGTTCAGGATCTGCACATTGACCTTCGAAAGGTTCCATATAACAGAACCTAATATAGCAAGAATTCAAAAATAGATTAATACAGAACATATGCAATCATACAATATTTTGAAGCACAATGACAAATTTGTAACTTTTTTAAAATTATCTAGTCCTTTATTTTAACTCTGGCTAAGTATGAATGCATGCATAACCTGTTCCAAGTCAAAATAAAGGAAAATAGTTGACATCAAAGGTAAGAAGCTGACTGTAAAAGAAAACAATTATTTTTATGAGATATATTCCTTTGTTTTCTTATCATGTATGTACAAAATATGACCAAAGGCTAGCTGCATCTATGAAAATCAACTACTTTTAGCATGTACGGTGTCATTCACAGTAATTTTTTGTTTTTATGAAAATCCTTTATAGTGTAAACTGGCCTAGTAAAAAACCAAATGGCACTAAGTTTCATATTACCAACATATATGCATGCATAACCTGTCCCAAGCCAAGGCAAAAGAAAAGAGTTGACATCAAAGGTAAGAAACTGACCGTAAAAGAAAACAATTACTTTTATGAAATCTATTCCTTTGTTTTCTTATCATGTATGTACAAAATATGACCAAAGGCTAGCTTCATCTATAAAAATCAACTACTTTTAGCATTTACCGTGTCATTCACAGTATTTTTTTTGTTTTTTATAAAAGTCCTATATAGTGTAAAGTGGCTTAGTAAAAAACCAAATGGCACTAAGTTTCATATTACCAACAAAAGCTAACTCAATAGCAATAGAAGCAAAAATGGTTTATCCAACATATATGCTGGTTGATTAATTTCATTCTATTTCATCTATAGCAATCCAAATTGTATAAAACCAACAAACTGCTCCAAGAAACCAAAAACCAAAATTTGCAGTTCAATTAGGTTTCTTTCTTTGGAAACTGACCAATTGGGCCTATTTCATCTATAGAAGCATATTACCGCTTGAAAATCAACTGTCATTGACCGATTCTCCCAGACTTTGTTGCCAGTACTGATTTCTTTAGTGGTTTTGAGCCTTGTTGCAGGCAGGGAAGACCACCAGCAGAGACTCAGGTCAGCGATGGCAACATTCAAGGACAAAGATAGAGCTCTGGGTGGACCTAATATTGCAAGAAAAATCCTGTGCTCCAACTTCCGAAACCCTCATGCCAATACCAAACCTCTGGTATTAGTTTGAAATTTTGAATTCTCTTTGTGAGAAATGTAAAACAAAATGGTTTGTCCAACATAAATGCTGGTTGATTAACTTCATTCTATTTCATCTATACATGGCAGGGGTATTTAATCCAATCCATATTGAATAAAACCATCCAATTGCTCCAACTTCTGAAACCCTCATGTCAATAACAAACGTCTAGTATTGGTTTGAAATTCTGAATTTTCTTTGTCAAAGATGTAAAATAACCATTCATGTCTTTTCACCTAACAACTTAAGCCAATAGGATTATTAATTCATGACATGGTATCAAGTCTCTATGACCTTAAGATTTAATCCTCGTCGCCCTCATTTTTTTCATAAAAAGTTTAATTTAAACACAAGATATATGAATTTGTGTATTATCCGCGCTTCAAGTTTAATTATATGGATTATTAATTCATGATATGCTGGTTGATTAATTTCATTCTATTTCCCAAAAAGCTCTTGTGTGAAAGTGCGTGATAGAAATATAATATAAAATAATTCACGTGTCTTCACCTAATAGCTTAAGTTTTTAATATAATTAAATTAATTCATGACAGGATATCAAAGCCTTTATGACAAAGTGGTCTAGAGATTGATCCTTACAGCTCCCATTTTTCTAATAAAATGATAAATTAACACAATGTAGGTAGGCTAATGCATTGTCCGCACTTTAAACTCGGCTCTTATATGAGAGGGCATGTAGAGACGTAATCTAAAACTATTCATGTGTCTTATTCTAAGAGCTAAGGCTTTTATGATATTTAGTTCATGACATCCTTTATAATGAAATCGACTATTGGGTTTCAGTGGAAATGTCTGAGTTGTAACTTGTAAGAGAACATTGTTGATGTAGCAAATCTTACTCACTGCCTGCAAATATTATTTTGAGAAAAACTTCATATTTCGTTAATTGAAGATTAACAATTGTGCTCACATCACAGTTAGGGAGCGGATCCCAATGACTGCTTATGCCATCTGTCAATTTCTGTTATTTATTTTTTATCAGATCTGTTTCAGTTTTTGTTATTAGTTTCATTAGCTTTGTTTCATCAGTTAGAAGCTTGCGTATGTTGTAATTGTCTACAAATAGATGGTTCCAGATATCATTTTGTAACTTTTCATTATTATTTGAAACTGTTGTAAATAATTGTATTTGTTTATTTCTTTATTTATTTATTTTTATTCTAGAATCTTTTTTGGGCTTAGCCCATTAGATTATTTAGTCTCTTTAAATAGAGAGCAATTGTACGGATGTAATATACAATTTTATCAATAAGATTATCTCTTTTTCAACTGAAACACACAGAAAGATTCAGGATTTCTCTTCTCTCTCTCGCTCTGCACTTTTCTACACTTTCTCAGAAACTTTTAACAGAGGTGTTGAGTCTTATTTATTTGATGATTGGGTATATATGTTGCCTAGGGTTTTGCCATGTAAATGTAGAATTGAGGCCCACCCTGGACAAAGTGGGGTGGAATTTCTATGCTTGTAATCCTTCTAGTATTTGCTTGAATTGTAAACCCCGAAACCAAACCGAACCAACCAAGTTTAACCAAAACAATTTAAATCAGTTTGTAATAGTTTGGTTTTCTAAATGAATCAGACCTCCAAGGTCCAAACCCGAGTGCAAACATCCCTAATAGGAACAAATCTTTGGTACAGCAGGGGTACCCAAGTCTTGGGGGGATGGTGTTGGTTGGGGGGTGAACATTGGGCTCTTGTAGTGTCTAAACAAGCACGGAAAACAGTTTGAACTTTCATCATCCAAATACAATACCCAAACCGTATCCCATGGTGGTGTCGGCAGTAACCAACATTTGTTTACTACCTAATATTCAAATATCAATCATTCCAAGCCTAATTGGTGAGCAGTGCACAAGTGTTAATACAATTTTCATCATCCAAATAACAAACACACTTGTTTACCACCTGATAGGAATGGACCAATCATTGCAAGCCTAATAGATGAATAACGCATTATATATAGTTACTATAGCCCTTTTAATTGAGTGACCAAAGGCACAAAAACATATATATGAATGTTAAATATAACATACCATTGCGCAGGTAATTTTATGCTGCCAAAATCAGGAGGTAATATTCTCCACTTTCTGCACTTGTCACATTGCACCCATTCACAATCTGGTTTGAAGACACAACTATTTCTGATCTGGGGAAGAAAAAAAGTAAAGTTCAGCACACCTCCCCAGGAAAGGAGGATCTACATGACCAGGTTTTGATATTTGTCATGTAAACAGGGAAGTGCAACTCCTATTTATTCATCTAATATCAGGCTTAATCAGAGTAACAATTTTGGGATCCATGTCTCACGCAGAGAGCCAAAGTAAATGTCAGCCTTACACACGTCTTGTGAAAAGTAGACATTAACACTCACAATTTGAAAAGAGATACTGTTACCAAATTCAATTAATTGAAACCTCACCATAACTTGGAAAGCAGTCCCACATTGAAAAAGCACCACCACTTACAAACAATATTTTGCTGGGAAAAGTTCCAAAACCACCTCTGATTTACTCTTTTATTACTTACCCCTTTTTATCACTTACCTCCCCTTGATTTGTTCCATATAAGTCCACCTTTAATACATTTAAAAATTCAGCTAACTTGTCCATTTTGCTCCCATGAACAATAACAAAACCAAAGGGGAGGTAAGAGGAGTAAGTAAAAAATGAATAAACCCCTCGGAGATTTTTTTGAACTTTTCACTAAATAGAATTTAAGCTGGTTGAATTTATGCACTTTAGATTTAAACCACAAGAGGATAAGGTTCAACTGTTTGTTGCATAGATCTGCAAAAACCTTAGAATTATTTGTTAGAATGTTATATTTTTTGGTTTCAAATTGCATAGATGTTTGTATATAGCGAGAATTTCAGTCAATATGATTTCAGAAATGCTACAAGGAACGTGCGGATAACTATTTTAATAACAGGGTTTTCTTTGATCATGGCCTCATGATCAATCTTTTCCATTGTTATAATTAATGAACACTTCATTATTTGTTGCCACCAATTAGCTAAAATAGATTAGTGAAAATGGTAAGGAATTCCGTGGCTTGATTGTTCCTCCTAAAATCAGATGAGGTTAAATTTGATGAATGTGACAGACTTATTGGATTTGGATATACAAGACTGTAAATTTAATCTCGGATATAAATTTAAGTGCATTTGATAAAATTTCGGTTATGATAATACAGGAGACAAGAGACTACATGTTATGAAAGTTTGTTGGTGTCAAGCCTCATGCTCACTGCAAAATCGGCTAGAGCATGGGTCAGCAAAGTACTGCACTGTGTTTTGCTTCAATAATTTTATAGCAATTTAGTGCAGTGTTTTGCTTCAATATTTTTATAGCAATTTGTGGCACTAACGCGGGAATTATGGTTGAAAGTGAAACTAAATGGATAGCACCACAACCACCTAAAGGAAGGGATGCAGGAACTTGCTTTATTTTAAAGAATTTTATTTAAATGCACAAATTCAGTCAACTTAAATTCTATTCAGTGAAAAGTTCAATGTTGGTAAAAGCACGAGAGGAGAACATTTTCATGGAGGTTTTCTTGGGATATCATGAGAGGATAAGATTTTCTTGGGAGGAGATCTTAATGGTCATGTTGATAAAAGCAGTAGAGGTTTTGATAGAATTCATAGAGGTTTTGGCTATGGGACGAGCAATGAAATTGGAGAAGATATCTTGAACGTTGCACTAGCCTACGATTTGATGCTAACGAACATCTTTTTTTGAAAAGGGGAATCACATCTTATCACTTATCATAGTGGCCAAAATCGTAGTTAAATTGATTTCTTCATGGCTAGAAGAGAAGATAGAAATTCTTGTGTTGACTGTAAGGTCTACCCTGGAGAGTGTGTTGCTACGCAACATAAGTTGTGGTAGTTCTAGTAGGCTGGTTTAACAAAGTAATTAAAATGAGGAAGAGGGCCCCGAACCCAATGATAAGATGGTGGAAGCTAAAGGAGGAAAAACAGTTAGAGTTCAAGGAAAGAATGTTGCATGAAGCACTATGGGAGTTTGTTAGCGGAGCAAATGAAATATGGAATAAGATAGTTATGTGTATTCAAAGTGTGAGAAGGAGGGTGCTAGGAGAAAGCAAAGGAATTGGATTTCTTACAAAGGAAACATGGTGGTGGAATGAAGAGGTGCAAGAGGCAATTAAACAGAAGAAGAAATGTTTTAGATCTTTGAAAGTATCAATGATGAGAACTTGCTAAAGTTTAGATTGGCGAGAAAAAATGCAAAGAAAGCAGTGCGAGAAGCTAGAGGCAAGGTTTTCGCTGTTTGTATAAAAATCTTGGGAGCAAGGATGGTGAAAAAGGTATATACAAACTTGCAAAAATGAGGGATAAAAAAAGTAAATATCTCACTCAAGTTAGATGCATCAAGGATGAAAATCAAAAATCTTTTTATAAGAGATAAGATGTAAATGAAAGTTGGATGAACTACTTTAACAAACTTTTTAATGGGGATAGTGATAAAAGCGAGGTGGACTTAGAGAACGTTTATAATGATCTGAATAGAAGATTTATACGCAAAATCAATATACATGAAGTCAAGGAGGCTTTAAAGAGGATAAAGACTAATAAATCCTTGGGACCCGATGGCGTACCTATTGAAGTGTGGAAAGGCTTGAGAGATGTGGCAATAAATTGGCTGATCAATCTTTTCAATAAGATTCTAATAACAAATAAGATGCTGATGCTTGGAGAAAAAATATGTTTGTGCCTATTTACAAAAACAAGGGAGATATCCAAAATTGTTGTAACTATAGAGGCATTAAACTTATAAGCCATACTATGAAATTGTGGAAGAGAGTTATTAAACATCGTTTGAGGAGAGAGACCAAGGTTTCTGTAAATCAATTTGGATTTATGCCAGGAAAATGTACCACAGAAGTCATTTTCTTGATGCGTCAATTAATGGAAATATATAGAGAAAAAAGGAGGACTTACATATGGTGTTTATAGATCTTGAGAAAACATACGATAGGGTCCAAGAAAAGTTTTATTGTGGGTTCTTGAGAAGAAAAAAGTACCATCAAAGTATGTAAATGCAATCAAGAATATGTATGATGGGGCTACTACATGTGTGAAAGCTTGTAATGGAGTATCAAGTTATTTTCCTATCATGGTAGGTGTACACCAAAGTTCAGCTCTAAGTCCTTATCTTTTTGCCTTAATGATGGATGAACTAACAAAAGACATTTAAGAGGAAGTGTCGTGGTGTATGTTTTTTGCATATGATATTATGCTTATCGATGAGACCAAAGATGGTGTTAATAGGAAACCTGAATTGTGGAAAAACACTTTGAAGTCTAAAGGATTCACCTTAAGCCGGAGCAAGACTGAGTATATGATGTGTGAGTTTTCTCTGGTAAGAGATAGAGATCAAGACCCCGTGCATCTACTTGCTCAAAAGGTACCCAAGAAAGATGCTTTTAGATACCTGAGATCAATTTTGCAAAAAAGTAGTGAGATTAATGAGGATAAAAATCATTGAATCAAAGCAAGATGGATGAAATGGCAGAGTGTATTTGGGTTTTTGTGTGACCGCAAAATTCCTCTTAAGGTAAAAGGAAAATTCTATAGATCAGCAGTGAGGCCTACAATGTTATATGGAGCTGAATGTTGGCCAGCACATAGATAACATGAGCATAAATTGGGAGTAGCAGAAATGAGAATGTTGAGGTGGATGTGTGGTTATTCGAAGATAGATACGATAATAAATGAAGATATTCAACGAAAAAAGTAGGAGTAGTACCGGTGACTGAAAAGATGAGAAAACATAGATTGAGGTGGTTTAGGCACGTAATGAGACGGCCCCTAAATGCTCCCGTAAGAACAAAAGTTTGTTACCAAGAGCTCGACACAAAAAGAGGTAGAGGTAGACCGAAACTAACCTGGGGAAAAGTAGTTAAACAAGACTAAATGGAGTGGAATATGGATTGGCAGACGGTGTGTCTTAGGACGGAATAGAAAAAAGCTATTAACAGGGTGGAGGGTTAGACCCGTTATTATTCCTATGTTCCAGATGGTCCATTTTTAGTCATTTTCCTCTTCATTCCCCCTTCCTTCTTTTATCTTATTTCCCTTTCCCCATATATATCTTCTTCTTTTTTTAACTCCTTGGATCTATCATTGAGTTCATCTACCACTGACCCCAATGAGCTTAAATTAAAGGTGCTGTTAATGTTGACTTACATGTGATTTTTTTACTATTCACAATAGAGAAATTAGCCCAAAATTTAACAACGATAAAGTAGGACTTGGATGGCAAAATGTGTTAAAAAAAAGCACACGGGGGTAATGATAAAATAGTAAGTGGGTTTTTGGACTTATCCTATTTTGTTGTAGGCCTAAGGACTAACAAGAATTTGACCAATATTTGATATAATGATATAATTTATAGAAGAGCTTTACCAGCTTGAGTGAATCAAAATTATTATCCCAGTATTCATCAGCTTTTCTACCAAGCCACTGCTCAAGACGTGCATATAATTCACAATCTTGGAATCCCTGCTTGTTATTATGCACCCAGACATGACCACCCGGATCATCCTAAGCCAGGAAGCAAGAAAAGGTACATGATTTCAGATACTGTAAAGAAAAACAATTACCTTATGGTGAAAATAGTAGCAAATTATTGGTTAAGCATTTTAAGTAACAACTTAGCGAAAAAATTGATTCCATAACATACAGAAGGAATTATTACAAATTTGTTCACAAGTTTTATCAAGAGCACCTCAAAATAAGTTCTATCAAAACTAAGCCAGCACACGAGTATAATTGAGACTCTGATACAAACCTAGGGAGAGCCTCATCCCAAAAGCCAGCCCATTAGGTAGGAGAGCCCAAAGTCCATATAAATCTCATACCAGAACCTTATGTTTTCGATGTAGGACTCCAAGTCTAATACCTTGGAGTAGGATTGTAACATTCCACCACGCTCCACAGCCCCGGCGCCCACGTAGGCTGGCTCTGTACTAGTCTTTTACTAGCCGTGAGCGAACATTGCAATGCCCGCATCACCACCCACGCCGCTCGATTGCAACCGGGAGACATAGTGGAAGGCTCTAATACCAATTGATACAACCCAAACACAATGGACAAAGGTCAGGAAAATGAAACATAAATTGTATTGATTGAAGCTGAATCAATAATAACTCAGCCCATTAGAGTACATGATATTGATCCTACAATCTATAAGACAAACTGAAATAATGGTGGGAAAAATATAAGAGAAAATAAAAAGATAATTTCTAAGTATTCGAGAGACTCGGAGCTCTCCCAGCCCAATGCCCAACCTAATTTTCCAAGATGATCAGAATTTATTCCTATTCCCTAGTTAAGCAAAAAACTTCCCTCCACCTTTAAACCTCCAACAGAATTTATTTTTCCAGCTTCAAGAACCTTATTTATTAACAGACTTCTTGCTGGCTCAATTCTTGCCTATATTCTCCTACATCTACTTCTTTCCTACACCTGTTTTAATCGAATCATATCAGTCTCACACATCAATATCATTTTGGCAGATTGCACAAGCAAAAAAGTCCTGTTGGAAAAAATTCAAGCATATACTGTTTTCTTGCAAGTTTTCAAATTTTGAAGGTAAACCAATTCAAATAGGCCATACAGAAGAATTATTAAAAAATAAGCAATCTAATTAGAGCATCACTCCAACCAAAAAATGTCATATAACTGTCATTCTTATCATAAAAACTTCTCCAGAACAAATTCCATCAAAAACTAAGACACCGCACACAAAGCATAACTGAGGCATGTAACATTCATATCAATCTGGCAGATTGTACAAGCATACAAGTACATTTGTAAAACTATGCAGCCAAAGCGAGTAAAACTATACAAGCAGGCAAGCACGTTTTTCCTCAAAGGTTTTATATGGTTAGAGAACAGGTAAAGTCATGCCAAAGCAATATAACAATTGAAGAAAATGAAATTGGAAAGTACATACCATTATATTGGTCACATCTATGACACCAATTACACCCCGGCCCACATCTGCACTATAAATCATGCCACCAACTCTCTTGTAAGCCTATTAAAGTAAAAAAATATAACCTTAAGCTCTTATGCAGAATATATAAGTTAGCTTACACAGTCAACTCCATCATTACACAAAGTCTTAAACAAAATTCCATGATTAGACCACAGGGTTTCCTCTTCATGATTGCTTAAAGAATTAAGGAGCTTCAGCCCCAGGACAATGGATGTAAAAATTTCTGCAAACAGACAACCAATACTTAACCCCTCACTAAAACTAAAAAGACTGGAAAGAGAATATTCAAGAGCCCAGGGCTCACAAACCTTACAGCCCAAACAATACCATTACAGTACTCTGAGCTCTGCAAACAGCCGGCCATTTACGTTTTTTTATATTTTAATAGAAAAAGGGCAAGGAAAAGCCAAGTTCAAAGATTTCCTATGTAATTTCAACATTTCAGTCACGCTAAACATTTCAAACAAGATACAACAAAGTTTCCTTTATACAACATCTTGTTAGGTTTTATCAGCATGCTGAAGAAAAAATCTTGTCAAACAAAATAAGATCCACATTCTCAGATTTTACGGCATTATTTTGTCATTCAGAAAAGAAAAAAAGAACATAGATTAATTTTTTTGTTTCAAACAATATCATGCTAAAGAAAAAACTAACTTCCTCAAGCAAAAGGATATTTAGATTAAAATTTCAAGCACAAAAATAGCTAAGATGATCAATAACTGAACACCACCCATGAAAAAATACACAGAATATTAATGAATATCAGAGTAATAAGCCCAATAGGGGGCAATTTGGTACATCCGACATTTTCACAACAGTATGTAACTTACCCCACTATCTTGGACGGCTACATTTGGAATGCCTGAATTGTCGGGAAGTACAATACTCACAAATCCGAGATCTCCATGTTCTTGGGTATCCCGTGTATATTTGAATGGTTATTAATAATAATAAACAATAGCAAACAAAGCGATCTTGAGTTTCAGGAGTTGATGCTGGGCTATGTCACATACTGGTGTGTAAATATACCAAGCGCCCCCTAATGGTTACACTAGAACCATGGACTAACTCCTTACCTCAATTAAACGACCATGCCAATACAAAAATATTCCACAGCTTGCCCGCTCCCATTCTAATTGATTGAATCCCAGAATCAATTCAAAGGGTTTTCCCAAGATGTCACCAGTTTCAATAACAGTTTTAGTCAGGAAATTTGCTAACGGCCGAGTTTTAACCTGAACAAAGGTAAAGCTAACAATTAGACTGAAAGGTTTGAAGGCCTAAAAGAACAATCCCTTAACCCCGGGCTACTTAGAACACAAAAATGCAATTACCAGTGTCCCCTGAACAGTTATCTTCATTCGTGGAATTAAGAAGATGACTTCTAAATAAGCTCGTAGTGAGTAATCCAATGGAACCTGAAGATAATAGAAAACATGAAAATCAGCATAGTTTCAAAACGCATAATCTCATAAAAGCAAAAGAGATGCCAAACCTTTTGATTAACTTGGCCTGGACGAGATCGACTCCTTCTACTGCGAATGAAAATGTCTCCTTGGTGGAAAGAACTGCCACCTTTCAATCCATCATGCCATTCTAGACAACACTCTGATCCCCATTCATCCAAGTTCCATATATATATCTGTGTTCCCGTCCCACCACAAAACAAGGCTGCCTTTTCACCAATAAGATACTTATTAAATGGTGAAAATTGCTTGATAGCTTTCAAATTGTATTTTGCCAAAGCTTCAGACTGAACATTTCGGTCAACTTCCATACATTGCCCTTGTCGGCAATAACTAACTACGGGAATCTCAATATTCTGCAGTAAAATAAAATAAATAAATAAAGTAACAGTAAAAATTAAATGAAAGGCATCAATAGTCAGAATAATCAATCCAAGCCAATCAACCTTGGGTATAATTACAGCTATTACACCCAAAAACAAGGTACAAACAAGATCATATTTTTTAAACCCACCACCTATCATATCTGAAATATAAAGAAAACAAAAACCATATTATGGTGTAACTTACATCTTTGCCTTCGTTCAATGACTGCGAAAGAAAAGCTAGAGATCTGGAATTAGCAGTCTGGGTTAGAACAAGAACATCTTTCCCAAGCCTCATTGATCCTGTCTATGGAAGAAAACCACAAATGAACAACAATTTAGAATTCGCTGGAGCAAGATATAGGTGAGATTGAAAAGATATTATAATATATGTTTTCGTTCAATTCAACATGGAACAGAACAAGGTTATTTGTTAAAAATTATCATATACATCATCCTTTTGACAAAATCAAGATATTTTGAAGGAAAAAGGCAATCTAAGATTAATGAATGCATTTTTCAATAACCACAATTATGACAAGCTATATGCAGTAAATCAAAGAGAAACTCTAAATCAAACGAACAAAGCAAGCAAAAGAAAACTTATCCAAGTATCCTTTCTTATTGTAAAAGAAAATTAATCGACAAAAGAATGGAAAGAAAACTACCTTAAATCCAACCCCAAATCTGCCGATGTGATCCTTGTCATCTTTATCAGGGTTTTTGTGCCCAAAAGATACCATTTTCATAACCTCATCATGGTTCATCCCTTGCCCATCATCGATAAAAGATAGCATAGGAACATCCTTTCCAGATGTTTTCAACTTAATCGTTTCTACAAAAATGTCCACCCTGTTGCATCAAAGCAATAATAAGTACAATTTGAGGAAGATAAAGAACTCAGATGGAAATTTTTTAGAAACAGAGGCATCAACTTATTTCAGTTCCACACCTCCAAATGAGTCAAAGGCAAAACAGCAAAAAAGGGTGACCTGCCTAGCTTTTTACTTTCAATAGGAAGTTCAGATACATAGATAAGCATCGGGCGGTCTATTTGTATATTAATTAAAACATTTCAAGCAGGCAATTTTGACATCCATGAGTATGAGAAGTAATGCAGGACCACTGTCTCCATTTCTTCTAACTTTTTACTTTTATTATCCGTCATAAAATTACCCAAAACCCTTCAAAACCTTAGTCCCTAATTTACAGTAAGCAGTCATTCACAAATAATAACTTCAATTGAAGAAACAAAAGGCAAAATCCCAGTACAGCATATCATAGATGTAATGAAATTCCTTTCCCATAACTCAAAGCTGTTAAAGGTTGATAAAATCATTAATCTTTCTTAACATTTGCCACATCACACCAAAAGGTACTGATCGAATATTCAATTACTGCATTACCTAGCTTCATTTATCATTAAATCCGTTACAAGTAAATTTTCAAAAAATTAGGGAAAATAGAGTAAAATAAACATTATAATTAGCAAGTTTGCTGACAAAGATAGAAATGAGATATGACATTTCAAGAAAAAAAACATGAAACCTACTTAGTTGCTTTGGCATCCCTTGAATTATCAACAAGCTCGGCTATTCCACCAAAAATCCATCCAGAGTGAACCTGGCTAAGAGTTTTCAAGTAACTTGGGTCTACACGTATGAAATTTTTTTCAGGGAATCTATCCTGCGTCACATGAGATTGAAATCCGCCACAAGTTTCAGCTGTAGCTGAAGGAAACTTAAGATCTGAGGAGCAAACAACAGCACCATTTGCTGGACCTCTCGCCATGGAAGTATTCGGTCCACCACATTCCTCAGCCAAGTGTGAACCTGATAAGGAAGCATCTACTACAAATTACTTTCACCCATGTAAATATGAGGTAGAAACCAAGCTTGAATAAAAATTCCTAGTCTTGTTTTCTATGTATAAAAGAAATCCCAACTCAAAAGCCATAGTTAAGCCGGAGCTACAGATAAGATCCTCCAATTGAAAAGCAAAAGATAAATGAATGCCATAAATCCAAAGAATAAGTTTGAATCAATTATTTAGATATTCATGTGTTCTTGTGTATCTACTACATTTTGCATGCGATGGTTTTGTATCATTAGGCATTGACTAGTTATATTATGAGAATAAGAACAGTTAAAGTAGAAGGCACACCTGATTCACAATCCCTTGCACGAGTATCTACTGTACATGTATTATCTATCTGATATGCAACACTAACTGGGCTAGATGTTGAGGCTATAGTAGGAGGCAGAATGTAAAGCTTACACTGCTCAAAGTTAACAATAGCAACCTGCAAAAAAGAATCTTGGTGATTTTCATTCAACCGCTCAAAAGAACAAAGAAAAAGAACCAAGGGAATATATACTAGTTTTACTCAAGTTTTTAATCATAGAATATCTTATTTGTTAACATTTACAAGATAATGTGAAGGGAGTTAGGGACCTTAATGACCAAGAGGTTAAGGCACTGCAGCCAAAGACAATGAAAATAATTAAGATAACTGAGAGTTCAACCACACATAATAACAACATAAGATCCCACTATCTTTTAAATTTGTAAAACTATTCAGATGGCCAAAGCAAATACATAACAGAGTGCACATTAATGGCAAGAAGCCAGACATCATATGGCTAATTAAACGGTAACAAGGGGCATCTTATTACCTGTAAAGAACCATTTCAACCCATAAGCTCAAGCTATTAATTGAGGATACATTAATGACTTTATATTTCCCTAACACTACCCATCCTGAGTAACAAACCTGTGTTGGAGAAATAGGTATACACCCGGAAGTATAGAGAAGATAGATCAATTGAAAGGTACAAGGCAAGATTGACTACCCAGAGACATTGACACCAATTGCAAAGATAAATACGGTCAGAATTTTGTTTGCATTAGCAGTTAACCAAGGTTAGGACTTGTAGCAATTTGATGTCAACAACGCCTTCTTAGATAGAGATCCTCATGAAGAAATTTATATGAAGATGCCACCTGGTTATGGAAAGGACTTGCATGCTAAAACGGTGTGTAAATTTAAGAAGCCACTTGCATGCCCTCAAACAATCACCACGGGCTTGGCTTGCAAGGTTTCCGAGAGTTACATTGACTATAGGATATAAGCAAAGCCAAGGAAACCACACACTTATGTTAAAAAATTTCTTGAGCTAGTTATGACACTTGTGGTACATATTGATAACATAATTGTGACTAGAAATGATGCTAAGGAAAAACAAGTTTTGAGCCAATGTTTAGCTAAGGAATTTGAAATCAAAGCAAAATAAAGGCTGAAGTAGTTTTTGGAAATTGAAGTTGCATTCGAGACATGAAATTATCATCACCAAACAAAAATATGTCATGGATCTTCTTAAGGAATCTGGCAAACATGTATAAACTAGTGAGCGCCCCTATAGATCTGAACTTAAGGCCTGGACCAGCAAAGAAAGAAGACAAGGAAACGTATCAACAACTAGTGGAAAGATTTATCAATCTATCTTACACAAGTCTAGACATAGCTTATGCAGTAAGCGTGATTAGTGAACAACTAGAATGTGGCACCATATTCTATTTTTTGCTTTTGCAAATCACCACATTTGCCCCAAGGAAGGTACAATACCCAGTTGTTGATATTCTATCACTTGGTGACCCAGCATAGTATGCATCAGTATATGCCTCAAGCACTACTCAGTTTGTTTTAAATAAAATGCTTTTTCCCCTTGTCCCCTTGGGATAATTGATTGGCTGCTTGCAAGCGCACTTACTTGAAGTTGTTCATGAATTCACCAATCACGCTTATTATATAAGCTATGTCCAGTCTTGTGTGGGATAGATAAATAAGGAAGAGGGACCAAAGCAACTCAACTTTGAAAGTTTGCAATTAACATAGCCCAAATCCAATACAAAGCACATTGAGGTTAATAAACAATTTATCAAGGAAAAGTTGGGAAGTGGATTAAGTTGCGCACCCTATGTGACTACAAAAGGACAGGTGGCTGATATACTCACCAGGGATTAAACAGTCCAGCATTTCATAACATTGTATCCAAGCTGGAAAGGAGAACGCCTATTCACCAACTTGAGGGAGAGTAAGAGAAAGCTGTAATCCTATCATCTATATTAGGTGGTTGAGCCACCCTACCATGTGTAATTCTTTTCTTCTGTACTAACGTTAGTACATGAATATACAGATTCAGAATTCAGCAATTTCTGGCAATATATGACTATGCTCATAATGGCAACCTAGAGAGCTCTCTTTCTTTCCTAATAGTCAGGAACTCTTTAAAGTGAATGAACACTATATTAAGTCTAATCCTCTCAGCTAATACTCCACTCCAATATATCAGTAACCATAAACAGAGCAATAACAAACTTAGTGGAATACCATACATGCTTATGATCTTTGCCATCACAACTACTTGATGGTTATTAATCGAAAAGCAAACACTATATTAAGTCTTATCCTCTCAGCTAATACTCCACTCCCAAATAACAGCAACCATAAACAGAGCATAGTTGTCAGTTGCAGTTAGCGGCCGACCCCGAAAATGGTATAGCGATGTAGCGGGTAGCGGTATTGCCGCTACGGTGAAGTATTAATTCCACATATATTATACTAACAGTCAAGAAACGAGGCAATACCGCTTTTAGTATTAATGCTCAAACATAAGAAGTCACACAAAATCAAACACATAATTCCACAATCAATGTCAAATACAAGGAACATAAAGGAAGGATCCAAAACTAAACACAAATGAACAATAAAATTGTCAAATAGTCAAGTACAAGAAGTGAACTAATAAAGAAAATCATCATCATCTCCGGATTCTCCATCAAATTCCAACATGGGAGTGGTGTAGCGGGTAGCGGTATTGCCGCTGCGCTACGCCGCTACCTTCCGCTACGGCCAATGTCGCGTAGCGTCGCGGTTTGTAGCGGCCGATCGCCGCTACCCGCTACGGTAGCAGTTTAGCGGCGCTACGGGCCGCTACTGACAACCTAGAAACAGAGCAATAACAAACTTAGTGGAATACCAAACATGCTTATAATCTTTGCCAACACAACTACAAGATGGTTATTACTAGAAAAGCAGACAGTTTAGATTAGGTTTCTGAAACCTAGTTTGCTCTTCAGTTCACTTCATGGTTTTGTTTATTTTCATTTTCTTTTTCCTTTTTTGAAAACAAAAGAGCCTCTCTTTCGTATCTTCCCACATGATTGAGTTTGCACCCTTTGTGATTTTCGGCATAGATTTATAACATATCCAAGAAAAAGACTCCAAACCATCAAATAAACAAGTACTGCTAATACTCCACTCCCAAATAACAGCAACCATAAACAGAGCAATAACAAACTTAGTGGAATACCAAACATGCTTATAATCTTTGCCAACACAACTACAAGATGGTTATTACTCAAAAAGCAGACAGTTTAGATTTGGTTTCTGAAACCTAGTTTGCTCTTCAGTTCACTTCATGGTTTTGTTTATTTTCTTTTTCTTTTTCCTTTTTTGAAAACAAAAGAGCCTCTCTTTCGTATCTTCCCACATGATTGAGTTTGCACCCTTTGTGGTTTTCGGCATAGATTTATAACATATCCAAGAAAAAGACTCCAGACCATCAAATAAACAAGTACTGCTATAACATCATCTTAGAAGTAAAGAATTAGCTGCTAGAAAAGCCATAACCGGACTTCTGTCTCCCATAATGATGCACTTACAGTTGGCCCATTGTACATGGCTCAACCAATGATTCAAGAAGCTCGTAGTCAACTAAAGTTGTGGCCCAATAAGTATGACCCAATTGTTGAAAGAGGCAATGATTTGAAATATAACAAATTATAATCGAATCCAAGTCCTAATAAAGCAGCAGATATGATTGTGATTTGTTTGGGAAGAAAAGGAAGGCAACACATTTGGCGACTGGCGTGATTTGAGATTAAAGATTTTGGACGTATTTTGAATAATTGAATTGTAATTATTTATTTATTTTTAAAATCTAATTACTATTATATTTGTTTTAGGAAGTTTTCTTATTTTTAGGATTTTAAATTTTTGAATTTTGAATCAATTTGTAATTAGTCCAGTGTTATTAAAATCGGAAACCGACCCATCAACCGGTCCGGTTCTAGTGTTAGACCGTTTAAGCATTCGACCCGGTATCAACCCAGTAACCCGATCATAAACCGCGGTCCAACCAGTATAAACCGGTACTGGTTTTTTTGGTTCAACCGGTTTTTCAAAATAAGCTCCAAAATATTCCATTTTTTTGCACGAAGTGGGATTCGAACCCTGTCCTTCAGGGTGAGGAGCGCCACTTTGAACCACCAGGCTACCATCTCTTGTTGAATAAAATGCACCATTTAATATATATAACTATTAAGTTAAAAGAATTATTTCAAAAATTGCATCACATGGGAATCGAACCTTGTGCATTGAAGATAGACAACATAGTAATTACCACTAGACTACATTAGGTTATTGTTTGAATTGCACCATTTAAAATATTTATTATATAATTAAGTATAAAATATAAATTTATATATATATTTGATTCATGCGGTTGAACCAATGACCCACCGGTTGAACCATTGACCCAGTGACCCGGTACCTCGGCCGGGTCAATGACCGATCCGGTTCTAATAACATTGAATTAGTCTATAAAGGGGTGCTTATGACCCTTATTCTACGAGTTGAATTTTGTTATTTTGATAATAGAAATTGAGAACCAGAGGGTTACTCTTTTGTAAAAATCCTAACTCTCTGTTTAGCCACTTTTCTATGCATTTTCGGCATCACATAAGGAGGCATAATTCGTGATAAATATAACTAAGCTACAATATGATTTAAAAATTTAAAATTTCCTCCAAAACCATGCTTAGAGTCAGTCATAGCAGGTTAGCAACCAATATAATTAAACGAATTCACCAAAAACACATATCTGCCAGAAGCCCAGAACAGAAATAAAGCAAGTACAGAGAAAACAAAAGGATTTAGGAAAGAAAAACAAAATACCATACCATGTCATGTTTGCATAGGAAACTCAAAAACCTCCCCCACTCAAGCTTTTCATGCGAACTGTCTGGAGCAGGTGTTAGTGAAAACCGGGGCAATTCAGAAAGACTACATGTCTTCTTCTTTGAAATCACAGAATTTATGTTTAAGTCTTTCGGCCTGCAAGTGTTATTCAGGTCAACAAATTCATCAGTAAACCAAACTATAAGAGGATAGGTTAAAATAGGTTTTCCAAAATTATTTCTTTAAAATTAAAAAAAAATTGTCATCGGAAAGGAAAAAAACCCATACAGGTCAGCCGGCGGGTCCGGGCACATTGTTCGGCATATAGTTTTGCTATCTTTTTTAAGGATTATGGACATGCCCATCTGCATAAATGTCAGTAAAATTAAAATGAGTACTAACATAGAAGCCACAATGCCTTATATATATTTCAAAAATCAAAACCTCGAAAACCTAAGTTTGCAAATGCTTTCCTTTTCCAATCACAAATAATAATAAAAAATGCAACTCTTTGCGCAAAACAAAAAAAAGTTACAAAATTTTCTTATCATATTGTTGGTGTTGGAAATCGACAATCGCACAACACACAAATCGGAAAACAGCAAAAAAAAAAAAAAAAGAGCGAAGAGAAAATCGACACAGTGATTGATTTTAACCTGGTTCACTCAATGTAGGCTATGTCCAGCTTGTTACAAGTCACTCGGATTACTAAGGAATATAAATAGGATTTAGAAAACCCTAACAACAGATATTCATGGACCCAATCCCATACTACGAAGAAAAAGATAAAATACAATGAGTCATCAAAGAGTCGGAGGCCGACAATAGTACAAGGCCTCTACGGGTCCGGGGCCAGCCTACACCCTGCCCTCTCACCTAGGAGCGGAACCCCATTTGGCTCTCTGCTGACTCCAGCAACTGGGGTCCTCATCTGAACGAGGATTATGAGTCATACCCAACAGTTGGGGTGGCCACTGCACACATCTTTCTGGTCAAATTTAAACCGCCTAGACCATTCAACATGCATACCATGCTCGCATGCAAAAAGTTAAGTTTGAATATTTTCTCCATCGGTTGCAAGTTCCAAAATACACCGCGAGGGAAAAATCGAAATTGCACAGAAAAGAAGTTAAGAAAACAAAAAATTGCACCTTTCGTCACGATTATCCTAAAAGTGAATATCTCCAGTAAAAAACCTGCAGAAGTAAACATGCAACAACTACTATCAGTATTCAAAAGCAAAAAACAGAACCAAAATCAACAACTCCAATTCAAACTTGCTCTGTTCAAAAGAATGGTAACATACACCAATTGAACGCAGCACACAAAATCATTCCGCATGAATGTCCAATACCTAAAATGCAAAATATAGGAAAAAAATTAAAAGAGTGCGGTAAAAATAATAATTATATAATAATAATTAAAAAAACAAAAAAGTGAAGGTATCACACATTGCAACACGAACTTACAGGTTTAACGAAAGAAAACCCTAGAAATGCAGTGGACTCGAAGTGTGAGAGAATAAGCAACGACGTTTGGTGAATTATGGAAGACTTGAAGACGAACAGGCATTTACGTGTGTCAGTGAGAGTGAGTGAGTGAGTGAGAGTGGGTAACCGACGCGGCCCAGAAATAGTGCGGTTAGAGTCTGAGCGTTTCTATGAGGAGAACCTTTCTTCTTTGATACGCTTCTTTTTAAAAAAATAATAATAATAAAGGTTCGGTGTTTGTGTTTTTAAAATTATATTTTGTTAAATAAAAGAAGGCTTTAATATTTGTAAAGTGAATATAAATAAGTTATCTGCATTTGTTTCTAAAATGATATTGTTTTTTTGTTAAAAAATTAAAAAATTATAATGAAAAAGACTATTATAACCTGAAATAAATTATAATTACAAAAGTACCTTGATTTTCGCCGCAAAACGATATGATTTTGGGCTCAATGTAGATAAGTTATCTACATTGGATGTAGAAAAAGCGAACCCATAAAAGAAAAAGATATACAATAAAAATTACAAGAAGAAAAATAAGTGACTTTTTAATTTAAATTTTAAATAAAAAACATTAATTTTAATTAAAATGATCATCATATAAAAAGATAATATTTTTTCCAAATAGTAATAAATTAATTATGATAATTTTTTTTTAAGTTGTCACTTTGATGCGTTAGTAGGTGTTTGGAGGCCTTTTGTTTCAAAAAAAAAAATCGATTGTGTTTTGGATAGCAACTTAGGGTGTGCATGACAATCATTCTGTTTCCTGGCATTGTTTCTGAAAAGAAACAATTATTTTCTATTTCTGTGCCCTAGAACAATTTATGAGAAAAAAAATTATGTTTGATAACATGTTTTATTTTTATTTTGAGAATGAAAATTGTGTTTGATAACACAACAAATAATATAATAAAAATAATTTATATTAAACATAATTTTTTTTTGGATCATCACTTTCCTTTCCATATGGTGTGGTAGTGGTGGCGGTGGCGGTGTGGTGGTAATGGTGGTGGCGGCAGCAGTGGTGGTGGCAATGATAGTGGCATAGTGGTGGTGGTAATAGTGACGATGGTTGCGGTGGTGGTGGCGATGAGGTGGTGGTAATGACAGTGGTTGCGGCGATGGTAGTAGTGGTTTGTGGTGGTGGCGTGGCGGTGACGTGATGACGATGTGGTGGTGGTAATGACAGTGATTGCGACAATAATAGTGGTGGTGGTGACGGCAGTGGCTGCGGCGATGGTGGTGACATAGTGGTGGCGATGATGGTCGTGGTGGTGATGGTCGTGGGTGCGACGATGGTGGTGGTAGTGACGGCAGTGGCTGCGGCGATGGTGGTGGCATAGTGATGGTGGTGGTGGTGGTGGCAGTGGCTGCGACGATAGTGGTGGTGGTTGCTGGTGGCGATAGTGATGACATGGAGGCGGTGGTGATGGAAGTGGCTGCGGTGGTGGTGATGGCAGTGGCTGCGGTGGTGGTTGGTGACGGTGGTGGAAGAGGTGGTAGCGATGGCGATGGTGGTGGCGACAGTAGTGGCTGTGATAATGGTGGTGGTGGTTGGAGACGGTGGCGGCGACGGTAGTGGTGGTGGAAGTTGTGGCGGCGGCGATGGTGGTGGTGGTGGCAGTGGTCATGTCGGGATGATGATGATGAGAGCGGTAGAGTGATTGAGAGAAATAAGTGTTTCTCATTTTGTACCCGGGAACAAAAAAGCAGAATTTTTTTGATTTTTTTCTGTTCCCTAACACAAAAATTAAATGGGTTCATCCCGGGAACAAAAAAATAAACCGGTTTTACAAAACGAGTTTTCTATCCATTTATGTTCCCGGGAACAAAAAAAAAATTGATTCTAGAAAGGTTGTCATGCACACCCTTAAAAGAAAGCAGAATTTAAAAAAAAAAATACGATTATTTGCTTCAAAAAAAATAAACATATATCAAAAGTTAAATAATGTTTTGAAATTTTTATTTCATCCAAACCCCACTACAATTACTACACTCCACTACCACCATTATCCCATCCCATCTTCAACCCATAAAAAACGAGGTAGGAGTAGGACGAGTTACCATTGGGGAGTGGGTAAAAAATTATCAACCCATCCAATTTTAAGGTTGGTTGAGGTGTGAACTCGTAAAACAAATATATTAAAAAATAAATATAAATAAATGGGTTCGTTTTTTCTTCAGTCAATGTAGATAAATTATCTACATTGACCCCAAAATAATATCGTTTTGGGACGAAAATCAATATATTTTTGTAATTATAATTTATTTCAGGGTTATAACAGTCTTTATCATTATAATTTTTTAATTTTTTAACCCAGAATAACCCCTCTTTATGAGAGAATGTAGATAAGTGTTTAGTGTTATAATAGTCTTACCACTTGTTTGGCTTCTTTCACCCTTATAGCCTTCAAATTTGTCTCATGTGGTAAGATTCAAACCCATCAAATTTCTGAGTCCTGAGCCCTCTCCCGCAATTCACTCATTGGTTTCTCTTGCCTCAAAGTGAGCTATTGTGCTTCAACTTCTCAAGGTTTCATAGCTTTTGGACAGAACAGTGTTTGCGCGCTAGGAGCTTCCTTCTCAGGTTAATTCACCTTGGAGCTTCAAACTAAGATTCCTAAGGCCTAGTTACTTGTCTCATGCTTTGCCATATCTGAATCCACACCCATGTGTACAAGACTTGAAGGAACGGGTGTTTTGTTTCTTGGCTTCTTTCACCCTTATAGCCTTCAAATTTGTCTCATGTGGTAATATTCAAACCTATCAAATTTCTGAGTCCTAAGCCCTATTCCGCAATTCACTCATTGGTTTCTCTTGCCTCAAAGTTAGCCCTCGTGCTTCAACTTCTCAAGGCTTCATAACTTTTGGACAGATCAGTGTTTGTGCGCTAGGAACTTCCTTCTCGGGTTAATCCACCTTGGAGCTTCAAACTAAGATTCCTAAGGCCTAGAGTCTTGTCTCATGCTTTGCCAGATCTGAATCCACGCCCATATGTACAAGACTTGAAGGAACGAGTGTTTGGTTTCTTGGCTTCTTTCACCCTTATAGCCTTCCAATTTGTCTCATGTGGTAAGATTCAAAACTATCAAATTTCTGAGTGCTAACCCCTCTTCCGCAATTCACTTATTGGTTTCTCTTGCCTCAAAGTGATCCCTTGTGCTTCAACTTCTCAAGGCTTCATATCTTTTGGACAGAACAGTGTTTGTGCGCTAGGAACTTCCTTCTCGGGTTAATCCACCTTGGAGCTTTAAACTAAGATTTCTAAGGCCTAGTTACTTGTCTCATGCTTTGCCAGATCTGAATCCATACCCATGTGTACAGGACTTGAAGGAACGAGTGTTTTGTTTCTTGGCTTCTTTCACCCTTATAGCCTTCAAATTTGATTTGTCTCATGTGGTAAGATTCAAACCTATCAAATTTCTGAGTCCAAAGCCCTCTTCCGCAATTCACTCTTTGGTTTCTCCTGACTCAAAGTTAGTCCTTGTGCTTCAACTTCTCAAGGCTTCATAGTATTTGGACAGAACAATATTTACGCACTAGGAACTTCCTTCTCGGGTTAATCCACCTTGGAGCTTCAAACTAAGATTCCTAAGGCCTAGTTACTTGTCTCATGCTTTGCCAGATCTGAATCCATACCCATGTGTACAAGACTTGAAGGAACACATGTTTTGTTTCTTGGCTTCTTTTACCCCTATAGCCTTCAAATTTGTCTCATGCGGTAAGATTCAAACCTATCAAATTTCTGAGTCCTAAGCCCTCTTCTGCAATTCACTTCTTGGTTTCTCTTGCCTCAAAGTGATCCATTGTGCTTCAACTTCTCAAGGCTTCATAGCTTTTGGACAGATCAGTGTTTGCGCGCTAGGAACTTCCTTCTCGGGTTAATCCACCTTGGAGCTTCAAACTAAGAGTCTGTTTGGATCCTCTTATTTTTAAACTAGAAGCTACTTATAAGCTAAAGCTAAAAATAAGAGCTTAAAAGAAGAAGCTAAAAGCTGTTTGGTAATTACATAAAAAATTTAGCTTAAAAATTACTTAAAAGCACATGTTTCAAGAAAATTATTTCTCTCTCTATCTTTATAACTCTTCATTTAAAAAAAAGCACACAATTCAAGAAAAACACATAAGAGCTTAAAAAAAAGCTCCTCCTGTGAGCTTTTAGTTTTCAGCTTTTTTCTTCATTATAAAAAAAAGAGCTTTTCATTATAAGAGCTTTTCTCAAAATCTGTTTGGCCTAGCTTATGCTTATAAGTAGCCTCTAGCTTAAAAATAAGAGGATCCAAACAGGCACTAAGATTCCTAAGGCCTAGTTACTTGTTTCATGCTTTGCCAGATCTGAATACATACCCATGTGTACAAGACTTGAAGGAACGAGTGTTTTGTTTCTTGGCTTCTTTCACCCTTATAGCCTTCAAATTTGTCTCATGTGGTAAGATTCAAATCTATCAAATTTCTGAGTCCTAAGCCCTCTTCCGCAATTCACTCATTGGTTTCTCTTGCCTCAAAGTGATCCCTTGTGCTTCAACTTCTCAAGGCTTCATAGCTTTTGGACAGATCAGTGTGTGCGCGCTAGGAACTTCCTTCTCGGGTTAATCCACTTTGGAGCTTCAAACTAAGATTCCTAAGGCCTAGTTACTTGTCTCATCTACTTATCTACATTCACTTAAAAACATTAAAGCCTAGATAAATACTAAAAATAAATAAATAATAAATATTTTAAAAATAAATAAGCATATCAGTTGTCATCTTTTTTTCTAATCTCTAACATGTAAATATTTTTGAAGTTTAAAAAAATCATCAACCAATAAAGTCAAAAGAATGATGTAAGCTAATAATTTCATTTAACATAATTATACAAATCATATCTTAAGATCAATTAATAATTTCAATGTCATTATATAACAAAATAATGACATCAAACGTGTAAATATTTGCAAATGAACACATCATTACATCCTATAACTAGAATTTCATAATCATCAATTTGATTTCTATAGATACTAGCATTTAAATCTAAAAACTAGCTTAAGTTTATTTCTTTTAGTGTCATATTAGAAGTGAATAAAAAATAACATTCTCAATAAAATA